CAGAAGACACAGTTTTCCTAGACATTCTGCAACCTATAAATAAACAACCACGTCATTGAATGTTATAAATCAATTTTATAAATAATATGTGCAAATAACAAAATATATAGAATTCTTAGATTTTCGCGATTGTTACACATAGGAAATGAAACTATTTTTGCGGATTTAAATCACGTATATTTGTTTTTTTTTTCAAACAAACTAACGTTTCGGGCCCTTTACAGGTCAAACGTGTCCATGGTACATATAAAGGGCCCGAAACATTGGGTTTGTTTGAAAAAACAAATATACGCGATTTAAATCCGGACAAATAGTTTCATTTCCTAACAAATTATAGTTATGTAAAAGAACAATGTTGTGTGTGAGACACCAATGACATGGTCTCAAACTAGGAAATTCCCTATACTATGAATGCCAGAGCAATGGTATACTCTCGGGGGCACTAACCGTAACACCCTGATCAGAACCAATTTAAGAAAGGAAAAAGAAAGGAATAATATTTACTTAATTTCATTTTCTTATGACTAATATAAAGTAAGTCTTAATACTAAACATATTCTATAATAACCGAGAAACAGTGTGGACGCTCGCCGAATTTAGAAAAATCATTTCCCAAATTGATCCTACCCGGAATCGCGCTTATTCAGTGCAAACCGTTGGATCTCCGAGGTCGTCGAAGTAATACGATATAGTTATGTATGCATTTTATATTTTTCTATCACAGACGGGAAAATATAAGTTCCTTTAAGATAATATAAGTAACTATTGCATTTTTTAGTACAAGTTGATTATAATAACACTATTACAAGACACAAACTACGATGGTAACAAGACACAAATTAGTTTTAAGTTAACTAAACAACACTTACAACATTACGAGATCCTTCCTCCACACATTGACAATGTTTAGACAGCTGTACCCAAATTTCTGGGATAAACGGCCTAAGCGCCGCTACGCCCTCCGGCGTGCAAGATTCGCATGAGATTATCTGCAAAGTAATATTAAAAATATAATGTAGATAATTTTATGGTACACAAACTGATAAACGACAGATATATCACTTGAGGGTAACTTTACTTTCGTATCCGCGTACAAGAATTTTAACTCAGTGTCTCAATGCCATTAGCAAAATATTATGCCTACTAAACATTCACAAAATTATGTACGTAAGTCTACTCAGAAATAAAATAGGTATACGGCACGAGCCGTAACAGCGATTCGAATTTTAAACCTCTCGATAGAGAGCGCATGCGCACGATTGTAATTATTGTCAAAGAATACAATAAAATTCTATTAGTTGCGATCCATTCTAGATGAAAAATAAACAAACCGGTTTGGTTAAAACTTTCAAGCAATCCGTCAATAAATGAAATAAAAGACTATAATTATAAGATCGAACACGAAGAAAGTTTCTTCAAGGGTGCATTCGAAGTAGCGTCTTCTAGCAAATCGTGCCAAAAGACGCTGGTTCGAATCCAGCCGGATCGATAGGATTTTTTTCTTAGTGTTCGGTCTATGTATAAATAATTATAACAATAGTGGAGAAATTTCACAAAAATAATTGCATATCATGGTGACACGATTGTCACATTCAATAAGAACTCAAAAATTGAAATAAAAGTTTTTAAAAAATTGACGGTTTCCACTTGATATATCTCATCTCTTTTCCTAACATTATTAATTTTATTAACAACTTCAAATCGTTTTTGAAAAATGTTACTCCAAAACAGAAGTTATTTTTCAAATGTGAAGTATGGACAGTCTATGGTTGCATATAGTGCTGTACGAAAAAAAAAAAGGTAAATAACGTTAAGTTAATTATCGATCCATATAAAGTTATGTAGCAAAATCATTACATTCTTCAAAGTTTCACATTTCTTTAACATTATATTAATTGCAGATACATTAACTGCCAGAATTAAATAAATGTAACCTATTATGAGAGAAGACACTAATTTCCGTGACAGGTTTTTGAACCTAGCTCGGAAGGCAGTGCCTTACTATGAAATGCAACATTTTTGTTCAAATAAAGAATTTGTTATTATTTATTTATTTGTAGGGTCCAAATGTCATTCAGTTTTACGTACCTCCCGCAGGGAATGAAGAAGCAGATATTGTCGTTTTGGTTGAGCTTCAATTTCTCCAAGAATGAACGGTAGAAACTTAGGAAGGTTGCCTACAGCCACTGAGCCGAGCGCGTAGCTAGCAGCTGACTTTATCTCCTCTGACGACGGAGTAAACGAGTTTAGAAGCACTTCTTTCAAGTTAGGGATTGAACTGAGGTCTCTGAAAACATAAGGATAATTTAATCATTATTAATACTTGTTCTTTAGCATTGCATGACTTTCAATCCGCGACTACGGAGTGTGAAATCGCTCCAAAACGAGATAAGACTACGCTTGGAGAAGAAAGACGTAACAAGTTATCATTTACAAATTAAACTAGTTTAGATTTGTTAATATGAACTATGTTTTTACAAGACGTAGTAAAATGGCAGTTCAATGGGCAAAAGAGAGAGAATTATCGATTGAATATAGTTTAGTAGTATAAGGTTACGCAATAAATGGACAAACTTGTATCGTTTAAATCGAATTATAATAAAAATGTAAGTCATTTTGGGAAAGAAAATAGTGCCTCTATACTTTACTGATCGGTTTCAATACCAGTGGGCCTATATTGTCACAATAAAAATAACAATATCGACATAATTGACGAAAACAACTACATGACTATTTAAAATTTTACGAAAAATGGCAACCCCTCAAACGTCATTTGACACTGTCTTGGTAGAAACATAGTATGCATAAATACAAGGACGTCCACTTCGTAAAGAAAAGGCAGTCACCTCGCGCCGGAGTCCCATGCCTAACGCTCACTCCAGGAATGGTGCAATGCGAAGGATAGAAAGAGATAAATTTAATGAAGAAAGTGATTGTGATATGATTTGTTTTTCATTTTGTAGTTAGTTCAACGAAGGGATGGGATTTGAATATTTAAGTCCTTAAATCCAGAAAAACTTACAGATGCCTGCCGATCTCAGCGAGAGCGAGAAGCGCGAACATGTGATGAGCATCCGAAGGCGGCGTGTGCGCATCACGCAAAAAGTCGCGAACCACCTCTAATGCGTCTTCGCCGCCCTCCATCACCACTGCGCCCACGCACTTCGCCAGCGAATGAAAAGCCTGCGAGTTCATTATACGTTGTCATCGAGCAGGCTCACTTAAAAATACTCGTGGACAAAAGTACCGGCACGAATCAAAAAAGTGAAAAAGGTATCGGGATAGTAGAAAGTAAAGAATCTTACAGTCTGAATTACGATGGAACTAAAATTAATTCGACTTAGTAACAACGATGATAGCAAGCATTATTATAACAATATGGCCAATATGGCGTTATACACTCCCGGACACTTAACTCGAGGCACCTCGCATTTTCAGTACTAAATGCCCTAAGCTTAAACAATGTTTGATTGATCAAAAACTATTAAGCAATTTTGAAACTAGTATACTTAACGTCTTTTCCATAAATCCTTACTGGAAATTTGGATTTGCAAAACCGGGGAAAACTTTTTCTTCGACGAAAACACTTACTTTTGTATTCTAGCCCTTTTAAGGTAAAAATGCGAGGTAGCTCAAATTATGTGTCCGGGAGTATATTATAGCAAACGTTGGCACAAATAATTAAGACTTAACCAACAGTGTTAATTGAGAGTAACCTGTTTCATGTGGTGCGCGGTGGCGTTGTGCTCATGGCTGCGGTGCACAGGCGCAACCAGCAGTGCCAGTAATTCGCGGCGAGAACAACCCGCCACGTCAGCAGACACCAATGCGCTTAGTACGCCCAGCATTGCCTTTAGCGCCCCTCCTATAAGTAAATCAATCAATCAATGTTGAGAAGATTTACTAACTCGCTGTGTCACCAAATTGAAAAAAAAACAGGAATATTTGAAATCAAAAGTCAATAGTAGTCCTCTTTCAAGTTAAATCATCCATATACATGGGTAATTTTCAGGTTAGTTTTCTCTTCCTCATCACAGTGGCAATTTTTGTTATTTAAATATTCTATAATATAATCATGATACTGCACTTGATTATTAAGTAACACTACTTAATATTCGAATGTAGTAAACTAAAATATTATTTAATATTTCACAATAATGTAATCGAATACTTAAATAATAAAAATTGACACCGGAATTAGGTAGCGAAAACTAACCTGAAAATCATCCCTACAACTTATGGGATTTTTGAATGTGATATAACCGTCAGGGGGTGTATTATGAACTTTTAAAAACCATGCAAGTTCCAGGTAATTCTTTTTACGCCCAAAAACTGACTGGATAAAATTCGTATTACGACGTACATATTGTTCGCCGACTTCTCATTGGTTATTTTGTCTATGACTGGGACTTCATTAGCTCGTGCTTTTTAGTGTAACGTTCAAAAACATGGATGAATATTTAGCGGTAAGTTATGGTGTTATATTTAACACTTAGTTTAAGAGAGAAATAATAGATACGTATTGTTCATGTACGCAAATAAATAAAGACACTATATAATAAAATAATAATAAAGACACTATATAATAAAATCAATACACTATATTTAAATTTTTGTAAATAAGAGAAAAGTACAATTATACAGAAAATAATTCAATAAAAGCTACACCAAGACAGTGTAAACTGAATGGTTTATTGCTGTTACTTTTTGACAGATCAAATGTGAACAAAATGTCAAAATAACGTTTGTAATACGATATTGCCAGCTAAACTTCGGGCAGAAGACAGCCTAGTGTCGTGTGACCGTTGACTGGCTGGTATTACCAGTTCATAATACGAAATTACAAGGCAGTTTACGTTAAGGCGTAAACAGCGTGGAAATAAGAGTGCATATTAGGCCCCCAGGTGGGGTAAGAGAAATACTTTATTTTGAGTCAAATGGTTTGAGCTATAGGAAGAACAGATAAAGTTTTATAAGGATTTTAAAGTAAACTACACTTGCCTTTGTTCATCGGCTTTACTTGTTTTAACAATCATTACCTAAATTCAACACTAAATGCGTTCCGAATCGGAGATTATACAAATCCAGAAAACTCGGACTCACTTCGGATGTCGCTTGTGCGTAAGCCAGAATATAACGAATCGAATACTAACAATGTATTTACCGAAAACGTGTAAAATGTAATGTGTACCTCGTATTCTCAAGATTTCACAGGTGTCTAATTTGTTTTTCCGCTTTTTGAATTGGGAGAATTGTAGCGACATCTCTTTAAAATCGTTTAAACTAATTTGTTTGTCTGTTTTATCGACTGAAACACTAAGGTGCCTAACTCTTTAGATTATGAGTAAAGGCTTGAATTCCCTCTATCCCCGGTGTTTCTCTTACCCCACCTAACCCAAGTAAGATATTTCAATCTCACCACGGCATACTTCTATGTGGTTGCATCTGACAAAGTAATGTTACGAAAGAGGTAAATGGGCTCATTATCTCGTGGGTTTAGTTTGGATGGTATAGCCGCAATCGCATCGTTAAAGACAAAAGGACTGCGCAAACGTATGTCACGAATGGCTCAACTTATGACATATTTTTAAAATTATCATTAAACTGTTTTTGGAAATTAATGGTTGATAAAAAATTTTATTGCAAATTAGGTTGTTATATGTATTTTGTTGAAAATCGTGATGATTTTACTACCAAGACATTAATTCTTTTTTGTGAAAATACTCGGTCGAATCCAGTCAGGTCGAAGGAACTTTTGTCTGAGTTGTTCGATCTTTTTATTAATAAGTTGTTGTTACATTATAGAATCACATAAAAAAGTTAAATATATCAATGACAAGTTTACAGATATTACCTTGGAGTAGTGGCGACTTAGCGAGTGCTAGTATGTTAGGCGTAAGGGCTGCCCGTGCGTCATCGGTGAGTGCTGCAGGGCAGCGAAGACAGGCGCCGCGGACCAGTGTCAACGCTGTTTGCGCACAGTGAAGGTCTGACTCGCATACTAATGGTGGCACCTCCATTAGTACCTGTCCAAAAAAAATATTGTATATTGTCACTCAATAAGGTTGATGTAAGAAAGACATTGGTGTAATAAGAATACAGGTGTTAAAAATTATTATTCCTGATTTCCAAAGATTGGAATGTAGGTCAAAGAAGTGATATAATTCCTGAAATAATTGCAAAAATAGTATGATTATATTAGATCAGACTTTTCCGATTATATTTAAATTTCGTAGTTATTCACTAAAAATTATCACTAAAGATGCGCCAAGTTTCCTATGTGTTCTCTATTCATTCCATTCCATTCCATACTCAGTATTATTTACGAGACGGTGTAAAAAACGTTTACAGGTTTACCAGTTTCCTAGTAAAATTTTAAAGTCATGTAGTCTTTGTCGACTGTTTTATCGATAGATTGTGAAACGGGATAAAATTTATTAAAAATCTATGAATCGTGAATGTTGTGACGATCTAATCTTTAATACAATTGCGTTAGCGCCTTCTTTCTGATTTTGACAGTTGGTCCACTAGTCTCGAAATCAATTCATAAAGCCTGGCCACAGTGTCTTAATTCAAGTACGAATTATATTATGCCTTATTGTAGACTATACAGTCACAGTCAAAACACCCGCGTAAAAATAACGTGAGTACACAAAAGAAACATACAGAGCCAGAGCGCAAGTAAGCACTGCCGAACAGACGGTATTCGAATACAAGTAACGATGACGTCTATTTTTAACCGACTTCAATTCGACTGTTTTTTTTTTTGTAATGTTACGCGATTATTCCGAAGTTTGTGAACCTATTTCGATGATTTGTTAGAACGAGGGTACCTCGGTAGTGGTCCCATTTAAATTTGAAGAAAATATTCCATCTCGAAGCACCCAGTTACGCGAAGAAAAAGTTTTCGCGCGGCCGCCGCGGGTAAGCGCGATGACATTCGTGTCGAATAAATGCGCCCTAATGGTGGCAAATTAGGGTATAAGTCCTGTTTCGCGCACTTTCCGGTAACCGATTTCAATAAAACTTGGCAAATAGATGAAATTCCACAAACATTGAGATCGGTTTTGTTTTTAATAAAAATGTTATGATTATTATGATACGGTTTTTTACGTTGTATTAATCTTAATATATTTTTCAATAAATATTTTACAATTATAAAGAGCTCCCACTAAAACCACTTCTCAACTGAGATGTGAACCAAACCCCTAATTTCTCAGTTACGTACATTTATGAACGCTTAGGAGCGATAGCTCTGGCTAACTGTGAAGGCAATAATTGTGACGAAACCCGTACGTTGAAGCAGGTTCACAGCCCTTGGAGAAGGTGTGAAGTCCGCGGCCCGCATCAGACCAGACTGGAGGCCTAAACCCTTTCGTTAAGAGACCCGGATGAATGATGATGACTCAAACTAAACAAATTCGGCTATTTATTGAGTATAATATGTAACAAATATTCAGTGGATAGTAGATACAATTTTATCGACAGCAATCTAGCTGTTTGTAAGCGGGCAACACTTGCATAATGAACTCTCATTTTACTCCGTCTTGAAAAAAAAAAAACAGTATACAAAACACGTCATTCCATACCTCTGTCATAATGTAGTGTTTGCTGTTTTAGAACAACGGCCTGTTAGAATTATGTATTCAAATATTAGCTACAATAACAAAAACAAGACTACCCATGACTACGTCAATCTAAAGAGGTATTATTGGCCTTTTGTATTAAGAAGTAATTTGTGTTTAGGCAATGTTCACGTAATTTAGCAAAAACGAGACTTTTAACTCAGTAGTTAGTAGTTACTCAGTAGTTTAGTAGTAGTATCACTACTACTTTGTCTGTTTCATTTTTTATTAAATTGACCAAAATTAATTTACATACCTTGCTAAGCAGCTCAATGCTGATAGTGTCGCTATAATTCTGCACTAAGGTATCCAACAACACCAAAGTGGACAGTTTCAAGGCTCTCTGATTCTTCCTCAAAAAAGATCCGAGTATTGGAATTGCGTCCGACTGAAATAAACACAATAAGTTGGTTCCATGAAAAAGAATCTGGGAGTTCAAAACACACTGGTTGATTTGAACAATGAAATCTAATAACAAACGAAAGAGCTCAACTATTTTCACCGTTAACTGGCCAATTTTTAAGGCTATTTAAACACATTTAAATTGAGCTTCATATTTTACAACTACATGAATCACTTGTCTTACCAAAATAGGAGTCAGATCGATCCTTAGTGGCGAAGAAGCGACTTTTGTGAGCGATTTCACAGTAGTCAGTCGGGTGATTTCGTTGCGAAGTCTTTCCAGGAATATTGGAAGACATACTGGAAGTTCAGTCTGCAAAAAAAGCAAAGAGAAGAAATCAATTTCATTTTATTGCCACAAATGTTGTACATTCTATAAGTCTCCCGATTTGAGAACTGTTGAGGCTTGTCAAGTGAGACCTGAAAAGTCGGTGAGATTTATGGGAGGTCACTAGTAAATAGTACATTATTGCAGATGCCAGCATTCCAGATAGAAGTAAGGGATTGCCGGACGTATATATAGTATTTATACGAGTCTGACAATTCCCGTTCCCGGCGAGGTACATCTGTACTTTTATCAAACAATGCAAACAAATAATAAATGACTAAAGAATGACGGAGAATGTACTATAAGATGTAAAACTCCATTACAAATGTTGCTTCTTGTTATAAATTAGGTGGAGTTCACGATTATTGGTTTAAAAAAAAGCCGTTTGTGGCTAAAGCTGAGCAAGTCCCGATTGCACCAGCCGCGACACGCATGACGGTGAATTAGGTACTGCATTATTGTTTTAATTCAGTAACCAGTCATTGCTTTAATTTTTTTTTATTGTTACTATTATATCATTATTTATTTAGATTCTCGCCTCTCGGACGGCCTAAAAGATTAATTTTGAATTATAATTATTATTATTGTTCCTCTGTTGTTTTGTCTATATGCATGTCTAGGCTTGTGTAATAAACAGTTTTCTTTCTTTCTTTCTTTCTTATTGTATTTTCGCTCTTTACACTAGAACTCATTTTCGTGCACTATAGTTAAACGCAAAATAAGTAATACCATACACAATTTTTTTTTAATCTCGCAATTAAGGACACTGGTGCTAGTGAGCAGTATGAAAGTTTTTCTTAGTTTAAGTTTAGAGCAGCGGACAGCAGTAAAGATTTCCGAGCATATTTGAGAAAATGTTAATTACTCGAGTCAAATGTAAAACAGTTGTATTATGTATTAGGCAAATAAATGAAAGTTTTGACAATGTTACCTTCAAGAAGTCCCCAAAATGACACAATAATTGTCCACAGGCGGCAATGGCTCGCTCCTTCACCTCCTGGTCCATGTCCGTAGCACGCAGCCGTACTAATGTGCATTGGTACATTTCCGGTATGAAACGTTGTAAGTCTTCAGGTGGGGGTTCCACTAGAATGTCTTCGCCTTCCGATATTGTTACGTTATCTGTAAGGTAACGGTATCTTATTTGGAATTTTGTTGTTGATCAGATACTTCTGGGGTATCTGTAGAGATTCACCAGTGTCGTTTGAATCCCATACATTGACTAACGCGGTCGAACTTCTGTGTTGTTGTACAACACATCTAGAGAAGCTTTCTAATTTGAATAAACGTAGACCTAAATAAATTTTTCCATAGTGAGTAACAAACATATAGAGTACAAAGCAATATGTAATTAGTTAGTGAAATGCTTACCTAGAGGCCTGATGACCTTGACGAGCGTCTGCAGCACCCTCAGCGCCTCGGCAGTGACCTTGTAGAAGGGGTCGTGTACACAGGCCAGTACTGCAGGAGCTAAGGCCGCAACATGTTTTCGCATTACTGCCGCAGGGTGACCGCGAAGGAGACATACTACGAAAACTAGGGTCTCGATTTTCATCGACGAAGCTGTGCTTTTATCACTGCAAATACGTAAATGTACTCTCGTAATGTATTAAATTATAAAAAGTCGACCTTCTTTCAATGTCACCAGTGTGACCTAATTTGACGAAAGACAAATGGGAATATGAGTCTCGATACACAAAATCCTAATACAATTTATACAAAACTAAAAAGTGCATGAAGACGTTATAAAGGTAGCTTCCCAAGGCCTGTGTTCACGGGCCGCCCCGCGCCGCGTTCGAGTGTGTGTCGCGAGTTTTAGTCTGGATTGCGCTGCAGTGTTGTCGTGGCTGCCTTTGAAGTAAACTACTAACATAGCGTATCCAATGGGCCCTTACAGAGAGCAAAAAGCACTCTTCCCACGCTGGTGCAGCACGGCCCATAAGAAGACGGCCGGTAAGAAGCGGGAAAAACTGTTTTGTTAGATCAAATGGGTGGGTGGGTCAGGTATTAACTATTAAATAACGGTCCTATGTAAAACATGTAGTCTACTCGCTCATATAAAATCCCGAAAACGATTCGCAGATAATTTTTATACAGGGTGGAACGGAACGACCGGCAAAGCCGAAATTATCACGTTAAGAATACATGAGTTTTATTCACTTTAAATGTAAAATCAGAGCAGTTGAAAAATGTTCATCCAGATTTAAACCTTTCGCGGTGCAACAACCCTAAGCGAATCAATCGTGTTAGTACATCTACTGCACCACAGGCGGCGTTCGTGTCATTGGCACTCACAGAAGAAATAAAAGTGTTCTCACTTTAATAGGTAATTTAAAAAAACATTGAACTTACTTTAAATTAAAAGTATGTTCGATTTGTCCACGTCCCCTTACTCTTGCAGACTTTCGAGACACATTCCTGGGAGTGCCGGTCACACGCCGATGTGGTTTTCCACACAAACACTAATACACTTTACTTGCTTAACACAAACACTACTTAATAACGGTACTATTCCAATAAGTTGCTGTCACAACCCAAAATTTAATAAGTAAACGTTGTTTTGTGTTGTAAACACGACAAAAACATGAGACCAGGAGTTACCATACAACCAGGCATTTTGAACTAATTCATGAATGAAAAAGTATTGCCAACTAGACTAAAGCAAATATCACTAAACAGAAGGTCCATTTAATTGGCCAGAACTTTATGGTCACATTACAGGCAAAAAACTCCTGAATACTAAGATGAAAATAAAATTAAATTTTAAACTATTAAACCTAATTAAATACGCGTCAAAAGATACCAAATTTTTTGTCGTTAGAAATGAAAGACGCTTTTGATGTCAAAATGTCCTACAAAGGGACAAAGTCATATAGCAGGCAACTCTGCAGAGAGATGCGCGCGGCGGCGGCGTACGCGTCGGATATCGGTGATTATTAAATATTTAAGTGTTAATTATAAAAAGACAATTATGATAAAGAAATAGGTTTCGCAATAATCGTCTTGTCTGGTACCATGAGCAATTTAAAAGCTTACTTTTACATTTATCTTCTGGGCGAGCTCGTACCAACGTAGACCTCATCTTTGCTCTAGGGCTAGGTAGTGGTCAAGAGTACGTCCATTTTCAATAAAAAAAAAAAAAAAAAAAATTTAACTTATTAAATGCGGATCGTTTAATGAATTGTATTATATAATCAAATTTAGCAATGTGATAATCGATACTCAAAAATAAGAAAACGAACCGTGGTGGTCTGCAGATCTCCAAGAACCGATTTATTTATTTTTACATTACATTAATTAAAATTTCAACTACTCAGCTCAAGTTAACAGAAAATTTAGTTTTAAATGTTGATCTCATTAAAATTAACTCTTCGTTTTAAAGTTAGAAAATTCTTGTAGTGTAAATTAAGTATTTCCAAATGCATTGAAAAATAGACTAGTAAGTGTGCATTTCTAAGCAGTGATGAGTGAAAAGTTTACTATTTTACATTAGGGCCGGATTAAGGGTTATAAGACTATTGTAATTTGAGTACTTGACGCATGTTGTAGAACGTGTTTACTTAATTTAGTTATGTTTATTTAATTAGTCTTATAACGCAGACAATAGGAGTTTTCTCCTGACAGGGTCATTTAGAAAACTTTACTTTTCTTAAGTTGTCGTAGGTAGTTTATGACAACGCATAGTTTAGAAACAACATGTCTCCCGACGATTCTATGAGAGGTGCATTTTTTCGGTAAGTGTAAATATTGGGTCGTTACATACGGAATTTAGGGGCGTTAATTACTTTCAAAGTTATACAATGTAATACCCGCATAATTAATCATCATTCACATGATGATTGATCAAAGAAAGCGACTGATGAGGTGCTGAGCAAAGACTGAGGTCAACGACCTATTAAATTACAAAGATTTTGTCCTGAGTACCTCCCGGTAGTTGCCTCCAATAACTGTGTGTAGGGATGACAACAGAGACTTTACGAGCAAATCTTTATCATTGAATAACTCGGAAACTATTGCGCTTAGAGCAAACAGACTTTCAGTATAATTAAGTACATGTTTAAGACTCTTCACAGTTTTCGGCTTTGTCGGTCGTTCTGTTTTACCCTATATGGCTATATTTCTCTTTAAATACTACAGAGAGCCTACAAAATTTTCACATTTATCTCGAAACTTGAAAATTGGCCAGCGGTTTTACGACACGCTCCGCCGCCCATTGCCCTGTCAGTCGCCATTGGGCGCTTGTCAACGTCGAATCTGCATGAAATTTTCTCCGCTTGTTCTTATTTTATTATTCATTTTAAGCGCGCAGATTGCGGGACGCGAGTGGCAGCCCCCCACACCTCACCTACTAAAATATAGGCCCGCGTACGAATAGTAGCTAATATAGTATTTAGTAGACATTATATTACTTGCAGATACATTAACTATCAGAAATAAATAAATGTAACCTATTATGAGAGAAGATACTGATTTCCATAACACAGGTCTTTGAACCTAGCACGGAAACCAAGGCCTTGCTAGCAAATGTAACATTTTTCTGTTCAAATAAAGAGTTTATTATTATTATAAATACCTCGCCTTAAGATAAAAAGTGAAGGTGGTGTTTGGCGAAGTGCGCAGTAACTTACGTGAGCGCGGGTGTGAGTGCGCGAATGACGCGGTCGGCGTGGTCGGTGAGGCAGCCGGGCGCGGCGGCCAGCAGCTCGCGCAGTAATGCCAACGCCGCACCGCGCGCGCGCACCGAGCGTCCGCGGATCACGCGCAGCGCCCCGCGCACTATCCCCGGCACCTACCGACAGACACACACTCGTCACTTACCAACATAGACGCATTCATCTAGAAGATTAATATACGCTTCTATGGAGTAGTATCAGTAGAGCTCCTTGTGATACGAATTCGTCCAGGGAAGTACTGCTACCTGCCGGTTTTAAAAGGTAAGAGTGCTGGTGAAATTACGAGAACATGAGACGTGTCAAGTTATATCTCAGGGTGATAGGCGCAGTGGAAGTGTCCCTCAGATCTTTGCGATTTGAAGCCCTGCGTGGCACTGCAACTGTTATGGACAGGCGTGGCGCTTAACACTAGGCGCACGGCTTGTTCGTCCCGTCACGTGTTACCATAAAAAAACCTCAATTACTATCAGAACCTCTGTCTCCAAAACTCACACTATCATAATGTTAAACGCTATACGTTTCTAATTTAAAAAGACGTAACAAATTATGGACTGTTAATACAATTTAAACTTTACCCTGTTGGCATGTCGTAGAAAGTTTGCAAGTTACGACGTTTTGATTTTATATTGAAATTGCAATCAATTTGCTGCCACATAGCTTTAATAGCTGAAAGATGACGAACGAGTAACGCCTAACGTTCTCCAAAAAAGTGGACACTATTGCAGCAGTATAAGGTTTACTTACATATGTTTCCTATAACAAAAAATATATTACGTTGTATACATACAAGCGTTGCTACGTTTGTATGGAGTTACATTACTTGTCTTATTATATTACGGTACATTATATATATTATTATAGAGAAGTACAATTTCGACCTACCACGAAATAAATAGTGAGTGAATATACCGCAACATTGGCATAGGATTTTAAGCCTAAGATCTATTCCAATTCCCACGAAAAATTGATGTCCTCTAACGTTGGCCATGGACCAATAACTCAACAGGACTGCTAATCGCGATACAAGACAGCATAGTCAGGTATTTAGTACCTTTTGGTACACCAGATGTCGTAACAAGTACCAAATAGCTATTTGTGTAACTTAATTTGTTTTACATTGAAAAGCTACAATTGATCAAGGCTACTGCAATTTCTAGTGTTAACAAGCAAATCAACAAGATGGCGCTTATTGCACAATTTTTTATAGATAGTGCCGGCTATTCTTTTGTTTAGGATTAGCGCCATTTACCCATATCATGAAGCGTTAATTTATAAATTAGTATGTAAATAACAATGCCATCAATTGGCACGCACAATTTGTCAAAGTTCAGAAAATAATTTTATTTCATCATCAATATTTTGAATTCTTATATGAAATATTAGAATTCAAAATTATTAAAGAGGAATTGATTCATATCCACGGCCATTTATATAATGTAAACTACTTCCAAGGTTAATAGACCGAAATGACATTTTCCAGAAATAACGTTTGCTCGAATTTCCATAACCTCGAAAGTAATTTTGACAGGGAAATGTTTTTTCTTTTAAACCTAACTTAACCTAACCGAACCTAGTCGGGTTTTTGCGATAAACATCCTACGTATCCTGAAAGAACAACAGTTTCGTTATCATTCGATTTTCAGTGTAATGAAAATTGGATCAAACGTTATTTCGGAAAAAAAATTCAAGTTTGTGATAGGTTACCTACTCCCGAGCTATAGACCAGCGCCATCTAGATGTAAGACGGAATTTTGACTTTTTCCAAAGTTACAATCTGTAGTATGAAGATCAGCAGTCGTTACAGGTCCATCCATGCTTTGACCAATTGTTTTCATCACCTAGAGTTTGCAATATTTTACTGCATTATTAATTACAGTAATTTATTAAAAAATATCGATTTTAAATAGGAAATAACTCACCCTCTGAATAAGCAGAGCCTGTGGCGAGTTTTCGGAAGGCGCCATGGGCATCTGCAGCGAAGGAGGGGGACGAGTCGCGCGCAGTAGAGCAGTGTACGCACTAAGAATGTCGCATTTTACGTTTTCTTCACGTTCTGAAATTATTTATTATATATTTTTATAATTGATAATAATAAAGAAGAGCTCCATTTATCTACATTAAAATAACAACAATTTCGCTTCAAATAATATCATCTTACACATGTAGATAAAAAGTTAAAAGTCTCAGCTTGAGGGAGTTCCACTAATTTCCACAAAAGGCTGGAAGGTCAGCCTTTACCCATTTAGTGGAACTCGCAACATTTTATATTAGTAGTTGTCCTAATTAGCTCCGATGAAATTATCGCTAAAATATACACAACTCCTAACTTTGATCAAATTGTCATGATGGTAGCCGAGTCACATAAAATACTCAATTTCTAAATATTCTTAATTCTTAGTTTAGATAGGAATGAACAGCAATTATAAAGAAAATAAAATAAAAATAAAAAAAATAGTAAAAAATAATAAATAAAAAACCATGTGTAAATTCGTCGATGAAACTACATCCAATTATTTGCCGATAGTTGCTTTGAAAGTAACCGTTCAAGTTCCTTATAATTTCATACTTTCGAATGAAATCACGAATAACAATAATTTAATTGGGTGGAGTGATGCCAAAGTGAAACCATAAGTGTAACTTTTTTTTATTCAATAAAATTTATAAATTTTTTTTTTTGCTACAATACGTTATTTACTACAATACGTTGCGCGTGGTGACTTTTTTCTTCAAAAGAAATCATATTCTGTAGATAGTTCAATACTTGCTACAAATCTAAAATGATGGTTTACCTTTAAATCTGGCGATAAGAGCTGGAGATACGGTTTGGTACATATCTACAAGCAGTTCGTGGCGAGTCGTAATGACTGATTCCAAACATTTGGCTGCGGCACGTCGCACCTGTAATAAATAAAATATGTGTTTTATACCCTTGCACCATAACTGTATAAAAAAAATAATTAAAAAATCGGCTTTATTTGACACGCAAAATACGTAAATTACAAACACTGAACAAACAATAAAAAGTAATATAATATGTATAATACTTAATGATCTACATACAGAGCCGTTAACATTATCACTTGGTTATCGGTATTCTACAGGATGTAGCACGGAGAATGTGCGAGGGAATTGCACGATTTAATTCCGCTTTGCCATTTCCATCATCGAGGGACTAGGCGTAAGCTGTGCTCCACCCCTTTGTTGTGGATATTCAAACGTTTCGCACGAAACGTTGCGCTACTACATTTATGGGGCGAACGGCTACTCAAGAGTGGAATTCCTTGCCTGTAAACTTGTTCCCTGAGTGGTATAGCTTGCGCCTTTTCAAGGCAAGAGTGAACGCACTGACTGACCTTGAGTTTTCCCTCGATAGATGTGTCGGTCGCTGGTGTTTATGAGTATGCCCAGGTGTTAAGGGGTTGTCGCGCCGCCCACTCTGGTCTCTCACAGACAGATGAGACGCTAAGATGATTTTCCGTATTGCCGTTGGACAACTGCTACGGTGATATCGCGTCAAAAGCGACCGTTCGCTAGCGCGGCGTAGTGCAACAGGGCCCGCCAAAACGGGGAATATCCTACCCTCAAATCAGTGCGTTTTTTAGGATAGGAATAGAGAGGAGGTGAGTAGATCATTTGTGCATTTGCGAAGATCGTATACGTATCAAATCTGACATATGCTTTATTTAGTTGTGGATACTCCATCGTCGACCTCATCGTCATTTTCCATTAGGTGAGATGGAAGTCAATTGCGCAATTAATTTTTAATTTAAAAAAGTATTTCAATTTTCTAATTGCTAAAGCTAACAAATGACAAACAACAGTATTCTTCTATGTATATGGAATACTTAGTTTATCATTATACAATATATTTACTATACATATAGTGCAATAGTGGTTACAAACTCTTCTGTGCTGTGGTATTTTGAAAGTAATTCAAGAATGTTACAAATTCATAATAAATAGAACGTCTTTAGTCCATAGGGCTCATTCTGAGAGCAGGCGCGGGCGCGGTGGCGGGTGCAGGCGCGCGTATCATGGCATCTTCCCTTTCACAGTGCCGAAGCGGCTACGAACGGGTAGATCCACACGTTGAAATCGCAAACAGACGCTAGACCAAGCACTGTGAAACGTACGGACGGACCGAACTAACAGCCGCCACTCTGAATAAGGCCATACACTCATTTTTCTAATAAAACAAAAATCGTTATTTAGTCACAGAGTTAACATATATGACCATATGACAAGAGGACTGTTCTTATCACGATACAAGACAGCGTAGTCGGGTTTTTAGTACCTATTGGTACACCAGATGTTGCGCAGAGTAAAAAATAGCTACTTTTGTAACTAATTTGTTTTACATGAGATTATTTCACAGATTGTTATGGATGCCGCCGGATATTACTTTATTTTGTTTAGGATTGACGCCCTCTACCCGTTACCAAGCTGTAGTAATTTATAAACTAGTTTGTAACACACAACGCCATCTATTGATATGCATACTTTTTAAGTTCAGAAAATAATTTTGGTTCATGGTCAATATTTGAATAATATAAGAAGGAAAAAAAACAGAGTATTTGTATTTCATATTAAAGAGGAAATAATTGACATCCACGGCCATTTGTGATAGTGGAAGAATTATTTACATAATATAAACTACTTCCAGGCGTACAGTAACGATCAGCGCAATCTAGATACAAAACGGGATATTGACATTTAACAGAGTTACTATCTGTAGTATAAAGATTAGCAGTCCTCTTTGAGTCATTAAAAATATATAGTCATTTGAAACGTCAACCAATTTTTTTTTTTAATATAAAAATAAGTGCGCATTTGACCTCCATCTTATCTGATGGAGAATGACGATGAGGTCGACGATGTAGCATGCACATGTCAATGCTCCATTAATCTATGCTTAGCCTAATCTATCGCAAATTTTAGTGCCATATTAGGATTATGGCTAAATTAAATTACGACTGTAGCAGCCACTTAAGAAAAGCAATGATGAAATACTGAAAATCCACTGCCGAGATAGCAAATATTTTTCAAAATACTTTTTATACTGATGCCGACGCTTCATAATACTCTTAAAATCGATAACACTGTACCTTCCAAGACATGTCATCGTCGTCAGAATACTCCTCGGAGTCGGAGTCAGGCTCAGCGTCAGGCGCGAACGATTCGTCCTCCATATCTTCGTCCTCACCACCCGCGCCGGCTTCCTCGTCCTCGTAGTTGTAGTTAGGATCGTACGTTACCATTTTCAGGCAAAGTTCAATGATCTGGAATTTTTTTTATTAAATACAAGAATGAATGAAATATTCTTTGTTGCACATTAAAAATTACAATGACAAGTAATGTAAGTGTCACAGATTAAGCTAATATACAATAGGCGGCCATATTGCTAAGTAGCAATTTGTTTCAGGCACCATTAGATATAAGCTTAAAATTTAAACCTTGAATATACGCTTCATATTCAAATAAAAATGTGTTTATTTCTAATTATTAGTTATAAAATCGCTATTACATTCCGAAAGCAGAGTTACAGTAAAACAGTGCTCACATTAAATGCATGATTTCTCATTCAACAAATCGAAATAAATTGAAGTTAAAATTCAACAGCACTTCTAAATAAATTTGTATTGAATTATAATTATTAAATTAATACTTAGAAAAAATGCCTTCGATTGGACCGAATTCGAACCGACGACCGACTTCTAACAAACCGTAGAAAAAATACCTTCGATTCGGCCGAATTCGAACCGACGACCAACTTCTAACAAACCGTGCCAGACGCTATGCCAACTAAGCCACAGAACGAACCAGCGGACCTCACGAACTTTTCTGTGCTTGTTGTTGGATCTTTGTATTTGGTTTTCAACGGCTTTTTGTGTGCACGAGGGTGAATAACAAGTGCTGACGACTGTTCGTGTCTTCTCGTGCGACTGTTGCGCTGCAGCAGCGCCCCTACTAATTTTCATACAATATTTAGAAGCGCAGCTACAGCGCCAATCGCGACACGTGCGCGCTACTTTTACAGACTCGATATTGTATGAAAATTATTTAGTAGTAGCACAGTTACCGCGCCACAGACGCGGCACTGCAGCACTTTTACAAGCGTCTAATTTGTCTGCGACTCAATGCGGCACGATAGAAATAATTATAAAACTCACGGTAGGAATATGCGGCTGGACCTCCTTAGGGCACTTGAGTACGAAGGCTTCGAGCGCTTGCAGGCAATGCTCGCGTAGCTCCTCGTCGGGATTGGTCGAATGCTCGAGCACTTGAGGCGCCACGCGCCACAACTGCTCGCCGAACCTATGTCCTGCTTGGCGGCTGTGGGAAGCCTTACAACATTGTATGTGCACACGTAAAAACATCTATAAAACACCTGGTTTCGTATATCAATATACTTGAAGCCAAGTCAAACAAGCCATATTTAAGATCTGTCAGCTAAATTTAAAACTGGTTTTGGACAAAATCCCTTTCTTACTCTTCAAGCGCAGTGTCGGACAATTAAAACTTAAAATATAATTTCTAAACACTATTTTTAACCGACTTCAAAAAAAGGAGGAGGTTTCCAATTCTACTGTATTTTCTTTTTTTTGTACGTATGTTACGCGATAACTCCGGGTGTTTTGTTAACCGATGTTGATGATTCTTTTTTTGTTGAAAGAGGGTACCTCAGTATTGGTCCCATTTAAATATGAAGAAAATATTCCACCTCTAAGGGTGGTACACTAGGGATGAATCCAGGTTCGCGCACTTTCCGGTAACCGAGTTGAATAAAACTTGGCAAATAGATGTCCACAAACTTTTGAGGTCGGCTTTTTTAGTACTCTGTACTGAGATATTAGTTATAAAATAAAGATACAAAAATATATTGTCATTTAGTTATTTCTAGCAATTCCGTTTTTTGTACGTACTCAAAAATTCACATTAATGGAGGTACCAGGTTTACGAATTTAGCCAACAAATTGTGTATTTTAACGGACTTCAAAAAAGGAAATTCTGTATTTTACTGATAATACTGTTACCATTTCAAACTTCACATTACTGCTTGGCGGCAGAAATTAATATGAAGGTAGTATTTCCCAAATGAAGTCTTTCACAACTTTCTTTCAACTGCCAATGCGCCCGTCACCCTGCGACATAAGTTGACAAGTCCCACGTGCCTGTATTTTCACCAGCACCCTTACTCTTCAAAACCGGAACACAGTAATGCTGACGTTACTGCTTGGCAGCAGAAATAGGTAAGGTGGCAGTACTTCCCTGGATGAACTCTTTCACAAGGAGCTCGATTGCTGATTTCGGATCAATTCTTATGTAAATTTTAAGTCCTTTTTAAGTCCCTTCATCACAAAGTTATACATTATATGGACACAATGTAATTAATAATACATACCAGACAGAAGCAATGCACTGTATGTGAGTGCGGCTGACGCTGGGAGAGGGTGAGGAGGCAAGTCCTTCCAGCAGATGGTCGATCAGCTTGTTGTAGAGCGTCGCATTGCATGACATCACCAAGTGGGAGAGCGCTACTATGGTGCGTTTGCGGACCGCCTATGCAAGAAGAACATTAGAATTAATATCAGTTACAAGACCACTACTAGCAGACACCTAACTAGAGAGCAAGATATGATAATCACTCTTCAAAAAGTCCGTACATATGGACAGTGTTAACAATGTTTATTTCTTTGTAGTATTTGGTATACTAAGATTATGTTCTAGTATAACAAACTCCTTCAGCTTGTCGTAATACATAGGCCTCTTGAAGAGATTTCCATTTGTCCCTATCTTTTGGTATTTGCCCCCATGCTCCTACAGCAACAATATAATAATAATAATAATATGTATTAAGTACACATGACATACAATGTTTCTGTGTTAGGTAAGTTAGTATGGAAGTTATCAGCAATAAAAGCTACAAATAGAAAAATAAAAAAATTACAAACTGCATATTAAATTTTAAAGGCATTTTTACTATTCAGTAAAATAGAATATTAATAACTAATTGTGTATAAAATGAAATGAACTGCATTTGAGAAGAATAAAACAGATTATGTTTAATACTATGCCTCAAAAAAATAGATTTCATTCCATCGGCAAGGTCTCACTGCACCTAAATTTACATCTTATATAGTAGACAGTTTAATACAATTATTGAAACTAGTATGAACATAAAAATAATAAAGCAATTACCTGACGTGGTGAGGCGAGCTGTGGCAACAAGGAGTTTAATAGCATAGGGTGGAATGATATCAATAGGCCTCCAAATCTGCTCAGTAGGTCAGCTAAGATATCCAAGGCTTCCAGTTGCACTGATACATCTTCTTGCTAAAAAAATTATTTAAATCTCAATGATTTGCAAAGTAAAGAAATAAAGTAAGTAGCTGAAAAAATATCCAAAACACAAGTCCTTTTGTTTCAATTAGTTAATTTTGGTATGCTGAAACAAAGTAATAGTGCAAACAGTGCTATTACTTATCTACCAAAATTTAAAAAAAACTATTGGTATTGCAGAAGTAAGAGCGCGTTCAAATTAGCCACTGTTATCCGCGCTGCAGTAGCGCTGCAGCCGCGCGGCGGCCGCGTGGTGGCCGCGCGACTGTCACTTTTTATACAATTCTAGACGCGCTGCAGCAGCGCAACTGTCGCGCGGCCGCCGCGCGGTTGCAGCGCTTCTAGAAATTGTATGATTGAGATGAGAAATTGTATGTATGAAAAGTGACAATCGCGCAGCGATATGAACGCGCCCTAGAGGTAAGAGGGTAAAAACAATAAATACAAATTTATTTATTTGTCCCAATAGCTTCAAGTTCTGAAGTGGCATTTTGTACAAAATAGATATTATCAAAAGGATCCAAGCTAGATAAAAAACTGTACCATGGATAACACCATGGAGGTGATTGTGAAATTTAACTAGCTAGCTATTATATTATATATATAAACCATACCTTCTCAATAGCACTGCTAAGTCTTCCTGTGATCTTTTTACACACATTTGCAGCAAGAGTGTTGGAGCCAAGTGGCAGCTCTGAGATGACAGTCTTGAGACCGATACTGCTGATGTCTCGCAGCTGCTCCGTCTCTGACAGCATGTTGGCGCAAAGCGTCTCTACAATGCCCTCCACTTGGTATTCTTTCACTTTGTTTACCAGTGGTCCTAGGCTATTTGGAAACGTTAAAAATGATTAACATGAAGAATTATACAAAATTTACTTGACCAAAATCATGACAATCCAAGTTGGGGTCTACAATGGATCAAGCTCGCTCAGAAGAGGCATATTCACCCCAACATTACAGGTATCTAGGTTATATGCATGTGCAAAAACAGGAGCATGATCCACATAATTATTTTATTTATTACACTATATAGCATTACGAATACATATTTATTACATATATATTAGATTCCTAAAAAATTCACTCAATATGACCCAAATTGGATGGATCTCTACATTTGATGGCCTATGCATACCAACATTACTACAGTACTCTATATGAACTTGTATAATTATATCCCATTACTGGAAAACAGTTCAGCTTCTAAAATACTATCTTTAGTATGTAGTTTAAAAAGCTCATATTTAGTTATTCAATTGTTATTGTCTGTATATTACGTGTTTTGAATGAAGTTTCTGATATGTTTAAATATCTAAGTTTATTTACACTCAATATTCCATCCCAAACTAAATTTGAGTGGGGAGTGTAAGATTATTCCATGAATCTTTTAAATTTGGAAGCCTTATATATGCCTATTATAGCATTCAAAGAAGATTTCACTATACATGTGTGGTTAAAAATATTATTACTATTTTGATCATCACAGTAAAAGAGCAATGTGATGAAGAATGATGAGTGTGCATAAAGCTACAAGTCATCACAACAAGAAATATTTTCGCTACTTCACATTAGAAACACAGAACAACTGTTTATATGTGTGCCAAGTGACATGTCAGAATAAGGACTTTGTTTATGAGCAGTAGCACGAAAATAAAATTTGTTGGGCTTTTCTATCCACGAATAATCACCATTTAACCGCCAGATTCTGCACTTCGCCGTTCTTGTCCTCGAGCAGCCGCAAAAGCATCTTCACAACTTTTCTCTCAGAGTCATCATCCAGCTTTATGCTATCCTTCTGCAACTCCGTCATCAAATCATTCGTTGCCATAAACCGAAAATCCTTGTCGTTCGAAGTCATCTACATCAACAAAACAATACGTTACAGAAGGTTATGATCCCAACCAATATTGATAAAAGAAAAGCGCCGGCTCACCTTCTCGAGAAGATTCGCTATTTGATAGGATACACTAGCCATTTTGATAGATTTTTCAGTCTTTTCGACACGACGAATGTTCCTTTGCAAAAAATAGAAAGAACTAACTTAATTTTATGAAAAACTGACTGAGAAACATTTGATCGGATAATGGAAATCGAAAATTCTACGAATGAATTCAGCGATCGAGCACCGACCCGAATCAAAAAACTGAGTGACCATTTAATAATTTACTAAACCTGCTTAATGGTCTTCCGTTTATTTTTTCATGAAGTCATAAAACATACCACTAACACATAAACATACTATAAAACATACAGCTAACACGCTGAGATGAATAAAGTAAATAATAATTATTATTATTGTATCTATTTTAGACTCTCGCCTCTCCCAAGGCCTAAAAGATTAATATTGAATTTTTAAATAGGAGAGGTGGTATTTCCCGGCAATGACACAGTCGACCAGGCGAACCGGCGGCGTACAATTCGTGCCTTATCGAGCAGGGCCGCCTTCTGCATTTATCCTGGAAGCGACACGCCACAGAAATCCAACCGCCTCAAGCTGTTAGAAAGGCTTACTGGAATTAACCCGTTTGCGGACAAAACAATTGGGATTATTTCAATGCAGGTCACATCCCACATCTCGTTGATCTCGTGCGCCAGGTAGAGATACTTCCGGCGTTTCTCGGTTTTTATTATTATTATATTATCATCTTCACATAGTATTTATTTTTTTAGGTATTATTACTATTTTTTAAATTTTTGTTACTATTTACTTAATTTTTCAACTGACTTCAACTTAACATATGCTGATAAATATGTTGAAGTTTGCAGAATATTAAATAAATAGCTACACAAAAGTACGTTCCATTTTCAGAATTAATGCGACTAAGACATCTGTTTGACAGCAGGATAGCAATATTACAATAAACAAACCGCGACAGAGACAAATACTATGTAAGTACTAAGTCGTTACGAGAAATGGAACGCCGCTAACAATAAAGAAAACCATAAGAAAACACAGCCCTTGGCACAACATAAGTTAAAATTACTGACATTACTCATGCGTTTGTTGTTCGCAGTTTCGCAATCAATTTATTCCATTAAGTGAAATGGATGAGATAGATAACTTCCTTTGTCAACACACATTAGTGTATCCTACCTTTTGCCACAGTTTTAAATGTCAAATAAAGTCTGGAACATATGATATATGAAGAGGCTGTATGATAGAACATTTGCCTACCCACATAAAGGGGTGAAGTTATTTAAAAAAAACCGGCAAATATTATCATCATAAAGGGATTCGCTCGGACCTTTTGGAGGGAAAAGTGTCGTTTTTATTTTGACTTTCAATTATTTTGTGAAATCTAGTTTAAAGTGGAATAGGATAGTGCTATTGTGCCTTAATCGAAGATTAAAACGTGAAATTATACGAATCTCGAAATAAAATACCCGTATCGGCCCGTTTTAAGGAATCCCGAGTCAATCCAAGCACGCCGCCTCAAATTGCCTATCCTCTTTGTGGCGGCCATATTTACAGAAACATATTTAAACTTCATGTTTAGACTGATGGCTTTGCCAAAGCCTTAATAAATTAAAAAAAAAATCATCTTATAGTCTGTGGTCAGTTTCAAACACACGTCCACAAAGTACCACGCGTCTAATGTATCTCTTATTAGTTTGTGCGTCTAATCACGTTTTTAGTTTCGTAATTTCGTTCGATGATCTTTTTACAGTCTAAAAATAAAATAATTAATTTAAGTTTTAAAATTAAATCTTTCATAATAGAATCTAGGTTGTGTATTTTTCAATATGGACTTATTTGTCATAAATAGGTAAACACATTACATTTCATATAGGTTACATCTTGTTTTTATTTTACTAAATCTAGTTTCTCACTTGTAGAATTTTTGATAAACTTTTGATTTGATAACTAGGTATAGAGAGACTAATGAAGAAGTTGACGAAATAGATCAGGAAACTAAACGTCTACAAGAACTCAAGAAAAGAATTGAAGAACGAAAAAAAGCTTTTGCTTTGAATAAAAAGTCCGATGTTATTACGTTACATCAGCCAGCAATTGAAAAACAAGATATATCATTAAATGATATAGAAGTAGAAAAAACTACAGTTTGTTCAGAAGAACCGAAGACTGAAGCAAAGAAAAAAGAAAGTAAATGCAGAACAGAATTTAAAGTTTTGGGTGTTGATGATTTCGAAAAGAAAGCAAAGGTAAATTATTTGTAGTTCTTGTTGAATTGTTTATTTAAACTCAGTTTGAAGCTCAAGGAGAGTCCGTGGTTTAAATCCAGCCTGGCACCACTGAGTTTTTTGGAATTTATGTGCGAAAATTAATTTGGAATTTACTATGACCTTTTGGTGAAGGAAAACGTAACGAAACCTGCATGTCGAAGAAGGTACACAACGCTCAAAAAAGTGTTAAGTCCCCAAACCGCAATGAACATGATGATGACAATGAGCATGACCGACTATGGCCTAAATCTTTGTGCCAGCAGTGAAACATATGAATGGGTTGATGTTCATTGATTGAAGCTCAATTTGTATGTACTTATACATATATGTGACAATAATTTTGTTAATTACAGAAAAAAAGTTACAAAATTAAAGAAAGTTTCTACATTCAACTATGGTGAATTAAACTTCTCACAAAATAATTTGTATACTTAGTTATATAAGCAATGAGATTTCAGTAATAAAAAGTTTTAATTATAGGTCCACAGGGTCCTACCACATTGGTTATCCCATCCACATGGTGTATCAACAAGTCTACAAAACCTCACATGCTCTGTAGAAAGTGTATCCTGGCTACACAGTACGTTAAAATCAACTCTTCTCAATGAAGGAGTTGAAGTGCTGTTTCCTGTACAAGAAGAAGTTATACCATTTGTGCTAGAACAACATAGACTGCCACATCCATTCTGGCCACATGATATTTGCGTTTCTGCTCCTACTGGGAGTGGAAAGACTTTGGCTTTTGTACTTCCAATTGTCCAGGTATAACTTAAAATCTTTCCAATACTAACGTTATGATCACTATTTAGCATTTAAACATTGTGGTTAGCCTATAGGTAGAACAATTCTCTCTGTAGTATTCATTACATAATTCTTATTATATAAATGGTGATTGATATTTCTATGTAAGACACTGTGCGTCTCTATGTGACAGGTTAATTGTATCATTTTTCCTGACTGACTGTCATAACAGACACAAGCCAATTTTTTTTTAGGACAATGTATTTTCAGTTTACCACTTTTCATCTTGAATGGTGACTTGGGTCAAAATTGTTCTATCAATGAGTATTTACATAATAATATACAAAAAAAACATGATTAGTGAACAGTGCACACTTGAAAGCTGAGTAAGAAAAGATACAACAGAGACAATGTATAGTGAAGAACAGCAATTTCCTTTCAGATATTAATGAACTCAGTAGGACATCATGTCAGAGCGTTAATAGTATTACCAGTTCAAGAGCTAGCAACACAAGTAGCTAAGGTATTTCGGAAATACTGCACAAATACAGGCCTCAAAGTGGCATTGCTTAGTGGAGCTACACCATTGCAGCAGGAGCAGCAAGTAATTGTTCGGAATAGTAAGTATTATCTAATACACTGCTTTTAATGGACTATTGTGTTATAGTTGATAATATGTAACATTGTGTTAAGTATGTTTATTATTTTTGTTACCTTTTCCTGTTCACCTAATAAGAATTTTATAAATCAACTTTATAAGAATTTGACAAAATATAAAATATTATGATACATTTATGCTTATAAAAAGTGTCATAATTCTGAAGCTACAGTGAATTTTTAAAATAGTTCTGGAACTTGTTCAATCTCCTTTGATGGTTTCAGCATACTAGGATATTTATAGTAATGATTATTAATTAATGACTTTCATTGTTAGTAATGTAAACAATAGTGTAATAATGTAAATAAATTATATATTTTTATTACCACAGCTGAATCTTTAGGATGGGTCAGTGTAATAGACATAATAGTATGCACTGCAGGACGTCTGGTAGAACATATACAAAACACAGAAGGATTTTCTCTCAAACATCTTAAATTCTTAGTTATTGATGAAGCTGACCGTATCATGGATCATATTCAGAATGATTGGTTATATCACATGGATCGGCATATTAAATTGGAAAATGACTTAATGGGAGGAAAAGTGTCTGGACTTAACTGGAATAGCCTTTGTGGAAAGAAAGCGCCTCCTCATAAATTGTTGTTATCTGCAACATTGTCTCAAGATCCAGAAAAGTTAGAGCAATGGGGATTGTTCCAACCGAAATTGTTTTCAGCAGCACCTGTAAGTCAGTTTGAAGATGATGAAAACCATATAAGGAAGTACACAACGCCAACTGAGCTTAGTGAACAGTTTGTGACATGCAATCCTGAGGAAAAACCTTTAGTCTTGTATCACTTCTTAGCTGAACAAAAATGGGACAAAGTACTATGTTTTACCAATGCAGCACAATCGGCTCACAGGTTGACTGTGTTGCTGAATTTATGGGGCAAGGGTCAACTTAAAGTTGCAGAATTGTCTGCAGCTCTAAATAGAAATGCTAGAGATACAGTTTTGAAGAAATTTACTCAGTCGGAAATTAATGTGTAAGTAATCATTTGAATTGTACTATTTAAAAATTGTACACTGTTTTGGCATACATACAAAAGCTGTACAATCAAGTTTTTATACCTACTATTCTAATATTAACTCTTTATTAGCATGAGCATCAAGGCTCTATACACTCATTTACATTTTTTTTTTTTCAGGTTGATAGGCACAGACGCATTGGCGCGAGGCATTGACATCCAAGATTGTAAATATGTAATTTCCTACGATCCTCCTAGGAATATTAAAACATACATACACCGTGTTGGTAGAACCGGTAGAGCTGGTCGAAAAGGACACGCCGTCACTATTTTATTACAGAACCAGGTCAATTTGTTTAAGGTAACATATAAAAAAACTTTAACTTTTGGCATGCAGTAGACAGAGTTTAGTTCACATTACTGTTTTGTAAATATCTTCCAGACAGTATGTTTAACAATGAAATATTCCTTTAATTAATCATAATGGTTATAGTTACAATGGTTAAATTTTAATTGTTTAGGAACTTATACAATCAGGCGGGAAAGCGGAGCTACCACAGAAAGAAATACAGCCAGAAGTATATGAACATCTTGCACATAGTTATGAGACTGCTATGAGAGAGACCAAGAAATTAATCCACACTGAAATAAATTCCAAAGTTCAAAAGTCTATTGAATTAAAGAGAGGTGCCAGGTCAAAACTAGGAAAAAGGAAACATGGGCAAATAATTAGTGATAACGGTACTGTATAATAGCTAATATATATTGGTAAAATGTACATAAATCAGCTTAACATAAAAATAAAGACCATACTCTGATTTGTTGTATTTATTGTCAAACCATAATTTGTTAACCCGGGATACACTATATAAGTGCGCTCATATGAGTTAGATTATATTGGAGTCCACTCGGATTTTGGTTTACACCTTACGAGTTTATCAGCATCCAAGTAGCATTTATATCTTTGTAGAATGTAGATAATGACGATTAATCTGCTGCTGCGAGGTATATGAGTTGTAGCAGATATGGCTGAAGTACAAAATCATGGAAGGGCAAAACAAAGCAAGAAAAAAATTTGGACCAAAAGTTGATTTTAAGACATGACCAACTAAGTGCTCAAATAATTTTATTCGAGAAGTGGAAGAGAAAGATAAAAGCACGTTTAAAACCTCATAATGTGACGTTCATAATGATCCGTGCATGTAAGTCAATGGATCCGGGTATACTTGTAAGAATAGAACCGCGTCTGAGGGTCGTATTCCAGAACTCTACTCAATGCTCAAGTCAAGATTTGAATATGGTTTAAAGCACTCGAAATCATACTCAAGTCCCTGCCATTGGTGTCGTATTTCCAGTGCCTGTGTTTCCAGTGCAATCCTGACTTGAGCATTGAGTTGAGTTCTAGAATACGACCCTTGTGTACGACTCTGACTCATCATGTAAAGTGACATGCTAGACTTTTTTATGCATCTTTATTTAATTTAATACTATTACAACCTGCTTATAGTCAACAAGGCTGATTGCAGGATAAACTAAAAAATACATATTTTGTGTCAGGGTAGACCTGTCTTCATTCCACTTAAAAATTTAAATTTCCCCAGATACAAGGTACTCCAAAAAGTCAATAAAGTCACCTTCTGTAAGCTAATAACGCGTCGAGATCAATTTAATAAGCCCAACACAATAGTTGTACTGTGAGTTAATAATTGAGGCGTTGGATAATATTCAGACCGTCCTAGTTGCAGCATCAAGTCAATCGACAAGTGGCAGTAAAACCATTCGGATTAAAGTAACCTTCAAATTAAAGTAAAAAAAAAACATTAACGACTTCTTGGTCACATGAACGTCTTTATTCATGTGTCTACAGTTTACAATGTACTCTTTATGTCTAGGTCTTGGAGGATGAAAATAGATCATAAGTTTTAATTAATTCAAAATACTGCACGTTTGCGCGCGCAATTACTTTTTTTCTATTTTCACAGTTCTGAACCTTGGCACGTGCAAAATGTTACATTATGTATACTTTTAATTTTTCAAATAGACTAAACTTGTTGGATTTTAATCTCAATAGCATAGTAGACTAGGTCAATCGATGGTCAATAGTTTCCATCCTCGAAGATGTCGGTTGAGGAACGACCAAGTAATTCTGTGTAAAATAGTGTAGATCACGGACCACTATTACAAGAATAGTGTATGTACGTATGTACATACAAAGATTATGCAATTTGAGTGGATGTCAATAAAGCTGCGGTCGCTCCGCTCCAAGAAGCTTAAATGACGTCATTCAAGGTAAGTTTTCCTGCCTTCAACAGACTAATCTTCGCGCAATCTCCAATATTATTTTATTATAATTTAATATATATATTACTATAATTTAAGCTTGTCGCTCGTTGCTCCGCTCCATAGAAAGTGACAAATGCTCAGTAACACGTAAAACAAAAGGTAAACTATAATAAAATAGCAATAAATGTAAGAAAACTATTATCATTCTCAACTACTAATGGGTAATTTTCCAAGAAAATTTAAAATAGTTTACAATTTTCCGGAAAAATTCCAGAAAAATTGGAAATATATTATTTGGAAGGTTTAAATTATGTTCTACATTTAGAAATATCTTTTGAAGTTTTATGTAGCGTGAATCTGCGTGAATTATAAAATAAACTTGTATAGCTAAATCCCACCTAAAGAAAAACGAGTTTTATAATGATTTCCCAACAGCGAAAAAAGCCTCCAACAACCACACCACGACCAATTGTTGGCTCCATGGTATTCGTTCAGTAACTTCAACTTTTGACAGGTGTCAACGTCAAATGTGGAAAATTAAACAAAAATATCCGGGAAAATATTTATATTTTCGAAAAATATGATTTTTTTAAAAATGGAAATTTTTCCATGTGCCGACACTATACTACTGAGCTATTTTTTCCATCCTCTAAGTACTAATGTGCACAGAGTCAAGAGCATGTCAAGCTTGACACTTAGGATTTAAATCCAACTGTATACCGCTTACGATAAGAACGTGTGCGTAACTATACATACGTATGTACCAATCTAGTACAATCAAGGTTTATTTTTTTATTACACAAAATTACTTTATAATAATGTATTTTTACTTGGAATTTCACTATATCCAAAATGCAAAATACAGTGCAGGTAACGGTGAAGTATTGCGAACAGTATTTGCAATCTCTTTCATAGCTTTCGACTAAAGTACTTGAATCCTAGCCACGCAATAATTTCAAACACTGGAAATCATACTCAAGTCCTGACTTGAGAATTGAGTAGAGTTCTAGAATACGATCCTGTCTTGGCTGTATGGCGCATTAGTGCCTTTGTCTTTTCCAATGGAAAAAACAGTACCAAAAAAGTGATTTGATAGGAATCACAAAGAATGAGTAATATAGCTTTTTCTGAATATCGTATCGAAACTATATATCAATATTCAAAATCGGATTTAGTTTATTATACTATATTCATTTTTTTTAATTTATACTTTTGGCTTGGATACAAGTCCTGTGAGCCATGTCTTCGTTTAATTATGTTTCTGTAAATATAAAGCCGCCATAAAGAGGATAGGCCATTTGAGGCGGCGTGCTTGGATTGACTCCCGATTGAATCCCGTTCCTTAGAACAGGCCGATACAGGTATTTTAGTTCGAGATTCGTATAATTTCGCGTTTTAATTTTCGATTAAGGCACAATAGCACTATCCTATTCCACTTTAAACTAGATTTCACAAAATAATTGAAAGCCAAAATAAAAACGACACTTTCCTCCAAAAGGCCCAGAGCGAATCCAAACTATATATTCATGTATACAGTCCTCGTGCGCGCTGCGTTGATACATTGCCGTTACTGATATTCCGAATCGGATTTTGAAACTGTATATTATTGGATTTAGTTTTACAAGAGCAATGCCAATGTTAGCATAAAGTATCGAAAACGCACAAAAAATGGTTTTGCGTTGATATCCACTCAGTGAATATCTGATACGAAGCAATATCGGTATATAGTTTGGAAAATATATGATATCGTGGTGGTATCCACTTGGTAATCGCTCGGCTTGATTCGGCATCGCTATAAAATACGCGATGCGGAGCTATATCGATATATAAGATTCACGATACGGTTTCTAAGATACACGATATCGGATATTCGATATTGCCACAATAGTTCAAATCGTATATAGTTTCATTAACTATATACGATTTGTAACGCCCATTACTATCAAAAATATTAAGTGACAATATTTGAAAAAAATCGATTAAAAGTGTTTCAAACACCTTAAGTTCAGCATCTACTGCGTTTTTCTTCAACTGTTCAACTGTTTGTACTGTTTTTCTGTGCAATATCTTCCGATTTTTTCAGATTTGACCTGGCAACACTGTGAAACACAAACACTTCATGTTTAGGCTGATGGCTTTGCCAAAGCCTTAATCAATTAAAAAAAAATCATCACATGGATTCACTCTGGGCCTTTTGGAGGGAAAAGTGTCGTTTTATTTCGACTTTCAATTATTTTGTGAAATCTAGTTTAAAGTGGAATAGGATAGTGCTATTGTGCCTTAATCGAAAATTAAAACGCGAAATTATACGAATCTCGAACTAAAATACCTGTATCGGCCCGTTCTAAGGAATCCCGAGTCAATCCAAGCACGCCGCGCGCCGCCTCAATGGCCTATCCTCGTTGTGGCGGCCATATTTACAGAAAAACTTATTTTTATGTTTTTGGCTGAAGTACTTTGTTTCCGTGGTCAGAAATAAATTTAAAAAAAAAATGTTATCACATACGAATCGTATGTTCACATATGTACATTCATTCGTGATTGTCATGTATTGTGTTGTTGGCTGCGTTGCGCTGTTTGCATTCTTTCCCGACTAGTGACTTGTATATTTAGTAATCTGTGATTCTTGCTCAAAGGGTACCTTATTACATAGATTTTATTTAGTTTTTTCCATCCTCTAGGAGTTTAATGAATTTGTTGCCAAATTTCAAATTGTAATAATTTAGTAATGTCTGATTCTGAAGATTCGGACGCTGTGGATCCTTGTTCTTTACTAGAAATCCATGAAGAAATAAAAAGATGCAAGAAAAACCCCAGTACGTCTTCAATGTTCGTCTCCGGATGGGATGATGCTGACGAAGGTGTTCAAGTTGTACAGGACCCGAAAGGTGAACAATATTTCGTTAAACCAATAGACCTACAACCAACGTTATCTATGTACTAGCGTGCGAAACCTATAATTGTTATTATTCACCGAAAAAGGAGGAAGTTCTCATTCGACTGTTATTTTTCTGTATATATGTTTGTTACGCGATAACTCATTTACGGCATTTGTGAACCGATTTTGATGATTCTTTTTTTGTTGGAAAGAGGGTACCTCAGTAGTCCCATTTAAATTCGAAGAAAATATTCCACCTCTAAGAGTGATAAACTAGAGCATGCACATTGACAAACCAATAAATAGACATCGGGTTCGAGCTAAAAGTGTCCATACCTATAGGGCGTTAAAATCGAATACAGAGTGTCAATCGCGCAACAGTCTTCATTTGTTCGAGTGACAGCGTGGTTGTCAATCATGCAGTACCATATAATAATAACTTGTAAAAATTACTGCAGTAAAGTGTAAAAACAGGATTTTGTGTCATATTTTCACTAAACAAATGTATTGTGTTACCATAGTTCTTATTTAAAAGTTTTATTTTGTAGAGTTTTATTGTATTTAATTTATATATAAATGAATCATAAATATAAATTACAAAAGCACACAAAATAATAAAATAGCTAACTGTCCTTTTTCTACACATTGCATGCGCAAAAGATGGAAAGAGACCCATTACGTCAATTTCAAGAAGCTTATATAAACTTTTTGGTCATTTTCAATTGTTCAAACCACAAGCGATTGAAATATTTAGAACAATGAAACTATAGAGCCGCTTTGATTTTAATCTTATTTTAAAAAATCTTTTTTATTAATGATGTTTAATTTGAGCTAACGAAATAAAATGTCAAATGTATTTTTGTAGGAAGATTACGAAACTAAACTAAATCAGTTTTCGGAATTACAGTTTACGTTTAGTTGGAATATCAGTACATTTCTTATAGTACAAGCTTACTTTTACATTTTCAGTAATATCAGCATGTTTGTATCTGCCCAACTCTCTATTATTTCTTTAAGTGAATTTGCACCAAATTCGACATAATAATATACATATATAAAAATTAATTAATATTTACGATAAAGGCTACTCCATTACTCTTGTGTTCAAATAATTTTCAGTTGAAGCTAAATATGGTGCATTTTGTTAAATTTCCAGTAGAAGCTGAATATGGTGTTTTTGGGTCCTTAAATTGTTGCAAGCAAAATTAGACTACTGTCTAACTACTACATTTTAGACTACATTTAATTTAAATTGTATAATATGTAGAGTACTACAATGACGTTACAATTTAATTTAATGTTTTAGTTTTTTATATTTCGTTACATGTCACTATGTTTGTATAGGTTAACTTCGGACATTTTTTTCGTGGTTTTTGTATTAGATCTGACGTCCATTTGTTGGTAGGTCAATGAGCATGCATGAATTTTGAGGTTGGTTTTTTTAGTACTCTGTACCGAGATTATCAATATTAAAAATAATTGTCCTTCATTGTTACAGCCAATCCTGTTACTCATATATTATGGGCTGCAGAACATGATAAACTGAATACGTTGAAGACGTTGATTAAGTCACAACCAAGCCTAGTAAATGCACAGGATGAAGACGGGTATACACCACTTCATCGCGCTGCTTATAGCAATCATTTAAGGGTCATTTCATATCTGCTGAGTGTTGGTGCCAATGTTCATATGAAAACAGAGATGGGATGGACACCACTACACTCAGCTTGCAATTGGAATAACTATTTAGCAGCAGCAAGGTTGCTAGCTGCTGGGGCTGACCCTGCTTCCTTATCTGAAGGAGGTGAGATATGAAAATTTAAAAAAAAGCTGAAAAAACCTAATACAAAAGATCTGTAACTACCACTTATAGAAATTTGTAAGGTTTGCTAGCTGTGTTGGTTGAGCAGCTGTCCTAGTTTGGAATACAGATGCAGGTTTGAGTCCTGTCAGATTAAAGGAATTTTCCTTCGCATTTGATCTTTGTATTAATAATTATAACAAACTAGTTTTCACACAAAAATAAATGAATATCATGTTAGTAAAATATTCTGATATTCAATAAATATCAAAATTAAAATTTTTGCATTCATGTACCATGTGGAATGGGTTAAGTAGATATGTTGTTAAAGTTACTAAAGTCACAGGGTAGGTATGCACCTACCCTGTGACTTTAGTAAGTACCTTTTGCGTCATTTATGTAAATTAAGAACTACTGGGAATTGTTAATCCCATTTGTTCTCATGAAAAGAAAATACCAGTAGTTCTGTCAACAGAACTAGTGGGAATAATCATACAGATCCAACAGAACTACTGGGAATCGTAAATCCCATTTGTTCTGTTAACAGAGCAAATGAGAAGAAAAGTACCAGTATTCTGTCAACAGAACTTGTGGGTGTAATCAAGTTATTTTATAGAGGTTAAATATTTAAGATGGAGATTATGTAAAAGAATGTTTAAGTTGTTTAGCATATCCCAAAGACTCCTTCAGTATATATTCATTTATTACAGTGTTTTATTATTTCTTCCACAGAGCAAACTCCTCTACACTTAGCATCATCAATCAGTCATTGTAAATCAACATTACTCATTCTCTTACTACGAGAGGACTCAGTAGATATAGTAAGAAAGAAAAACAAATCAAACCAAACTCCTGAAGAATTGGCTAGAGGTCATGGAATATATGCACCATTATTTGAAATGGCGTCACCAGCTTCTTCTTATATAAAATCCAGATCATTTACTTGTAATCCTTATGTACGAGCTCAACTTCTTCAACAAGTTAATAAAGATTAGTTATGCTACCGTTTTCTTAATTTTTTTTTCTTATTTCACTTGGCTTTTCGCGGTAAGCCTTTCAGCCACTTACAAAGCGTCTTTATTAACTTGTTTTTAAACTGGGAAAATTTTATATCATGGAATGTAATTTGAAAACAAGATTTGGAAGTTGGAGAAAAAGGGATCAGGCGAGGAATTATGTGATGTACACATTGTTATGGATGTACATAAACAAATAGTATATTGAAATGATATTTGATATTTTGCTTTTAAAATAAGAATACCCTATTTGAGATCTAAAATGTTTTTATTGAATTTTTTAATTACTACTTTTATACATATAATTGTTTACACAAAGTATAGCACTTCAAGTTACTTAATTATACATGTACAAATAGTCCAATACCTGCATTGACTTACAAATAAATGGACGACGGGTCTAATACAAAAACCACGAAAAAAATGTCCCAAGTCAACCTATTCGAAATTTAAATTGTAATGTCATCGCAGTATCGCGCTGTCAGTAGAACAAATGAAGACTAAAGCGGAGTGTCGCGCTCTGTATACGATTTTAGCGCCTTACAAGTGCGGACACTTTTTAGCGCGGACCCGACGTCCATATCAATATCGTAAGTCAATGAATACCTGTGATTTTTTTTTTAATAAACGTCTGATATATCTCACAAGAAAAGTATTTACTTATCAATATCATATGTACTTATTTTAAATCTTAAAACTAAAAAAATCATTATGAATTGTATATTAAGGTTAAAAAAAAGCACCAACAATATAGTGTTACACAATATATATGCATTTAATTTTTATGTCTGACTAAGCATTCCTATCGATAAGCTCGCGATGTCAAACTTTCAACTACTAACATAGCCCCTGATACTAGATATGTCTCAGAGTGCAAATTCTTTAAACTCGCAATCAATTTTCGTTTGTCAATTTTGTGTAGTTCACTAATAGTTTGCCTTTTCTCGGGTGTTATGTATGGCAAAACCAAACAACCGAGACCAATACATTTGCATCGCAAACAGTTTTTCCAAACTTCTATTAAATCTGCGTCTTTTATTACAGGACACAGAGGTAACAAATTCATCGCCTTTAGGCATTTTGCTTTCTGACGTTCAGTGATAGGGTAGTCAGCACGTTGAAATGGCGACAAAATTACAGCTCTCCAAGCTGTGTATATAATATCATCGGGCGGTGAAAATATTTTCAAAAGAGAAGGAATCATTTCCTCGTACAAACCAGCGCGTAATAACAAAGGTAAAAGTTCCCTAATATGTTTTACATTGCCATATCGGCGTGAAAGATCAGCCGCAACCATCAAACCTTGAACACTCCCTGAGGCAGTCTGTAGCAACTGTTCGAGTGCAAGAGTTTTGTCTTGAGCAAACATCGCGACAAGCCAAGGCATATCAATGTCTTCAAGTTTAACTGTGTACAATAATTCCAGGAGCAATGGCCAAAGAGCATCGCGATCTTTATTAGTAACTTTCAAAGCTGTGTCTGAATCTACAACACTCATGAGACACTGCAGAGCTCTGAGCTTCTTACATTTATTAAAATCGCTTTCGTCATCAAACACGATTCGCGATAAGTAAATTGCGCTCATTTTTGGGCACGCTGCCTTAAGTATGTATTTCGCCACCATTAGCGTTTTTGTGTCTAATCCAGAAGCATTTTTACTTTTATTTTCTTCGCTTTGCGTAGAAAGAATATTTTCTAAGATTTGAAATCTAATTGAACTGATATTAATTCCGTTCTTATCTGCTATTTCATCGGCTGTACGATTTACATCATAACGAGCCATTTTTTCGACAAACTCGGGATGTAGATACAAGGTCCGTATAAGCTGGGCTGGTTCTGCTACAAGTCGTACGAATTCTTCACAAGCCCAGTCTATCTTATGTAATGCATGACGTGTCGAAAGGGTAAAATGTAAGCGTTCCATTTGTCGAGCAGCACGATTATCTGGCTGTTGAGCAGCCCAACGTTGCGCAAATTGATATGATAGTTGTGCTGCAGCTACTTGATCAGCGCCGCGGGCAAGACCTTGCAAGATGTAAAAAAGACAGGCTCCTGTCCAATCTATGTTTACAATATGTCTAAGGCAACGATGAGCAGCGTGAAGCAAAGGCTCCTCTCTTGTTGTGATCCGCCAAGGTCCACTATCTTTGGCGTCATTGTCAGTATTTTCATTGCGTTTACGAGCTGTCATGCTTTGTTTTAAGGCGTTACTACAGATCATGTCTTTTGCAGTTTGTAACTCTGGATCTAGGGAAAGTAATGCAACAGCAGATAACCAACGCTCATATGTTTCAAGTGTTATTTCACATTTTAAATTAGACCACATGTCTTCTCGCATAAAGAGGTGGAATGGAAGGCGATGATATCCAATTTCTGGAAATATACCTTTTATAGAAAAGAGTTCAAATTCGTACTGTTTGGGAGTACTTTTTCGTCTGTAGTCTTTTAAAAAGTTTAATAGAAAGTATTCTTTCTTACTACGCATTTCTACAGATGATCCATAAATTAAATGAAAAATGCAGATGTAAACTTCGTAATAATATGGATTAATTGTAATCGAGCGGCCATGCAACGTGCTTTCTCCATTTTTCCAAAAATCGCTGAGAATGTTTTTCAATAAATTTTTGTCACTGATGCTATTCCAGATCGTGAAACATTTCGACATTAGATCCTTTTCATTATTTTCAAAATACATCTGCCGGCAACCCAAGTCATCCTTATACGTTTTGTATTTTAGTTCCCAAGTAGTTAGCAGGGCTATAAGTTGAAGGGAAAGTCCGTCGTTAACAGAAACATTCAAAGTACGACAAAGTTCAACAAGTCGCTCGAATGTCGTTTCAGGGTACATACGCAAGACATAGAATAATACCACTTTCACATCCCACGTTTCTTCAGTATTATCAGAGAGTGCAATATCGGTTAAATTTATATTAAATTTGGATTTGATTATGTATTGAGGTGAGTATGAAACTACATTGCCGGATAAAATGTTTTCTAACATAAATAAATTACGAATTAACGGCGAAGAAAGATAGCGTAATATTACTGGCGGTATAGATTCATTCTGACTTTGAAGGATGTCCACAATCCACATGCTATCTTCAGATTTCTCAGCTTCATTCAACATAAGAAGTAAGGATGTTAGTAAAATTTCATCGAGATCTTGGCAAGAAATGACTTTTGTTAATAGTCTCTTGGCTGCATTACGTTTTACTGCACGCAATTCATCTGATAATAAATCGTAACCTGCGCCCAGTATACGAAATGTAATGAAGTCATTTTTGTTCTTAACATTCAGACGCATTTCATTCATACTGTCCTCTGCTAAGCTGTTGGCGTAGAAAGGAATTAATTCGTTTGTAGCAGTAACCGAAGACATGGGTAAGAATATGTAATGAAATTTCCAGGTCACTGCAAGATTTTTCACTATAACATTGCCATTAATTAAAGCGTTCAAAACGGACAAATATTTCATGAGGTGGTGTAGATGTTCTTCAGCACATCTTGTCACGAGATCTATGAGAACATTGAATGATTCTAACAAAACAGATGCGTTGACGCCATCTGCGAAATTTGATAAAACCGAACCAATGTCTTCTACAGATAATTTCGTTCTACTACAAAATAAACTTATTAAAGATTCTATGATCTTACGGACTTGACTGCACGTGGACGTACAACGTAGCAAGGATACGAGCTCAGATTGTCGCGACTGATGTGTTCGCGTAAGTTGATGTAAGCAGTGCCCTCGACCCGAACTGGCCGTGACTTGGTCTCTTTTTATCCATGACGCTGTTTTTTCGGCACAGATATTTTCGTTATACATGGTATTAAAATCCAATGAGATATTGTAGGAATTTTTTAAATGATATAAATTTTCAATATTGTTTATTTGTATTTCATTCAAGAGATTTGTTCCTTTAAGGAAGTCAATGTAGTTTCTTTCTACTAAAGAACTGCTAGTATTTCCACTAATTATCTGTTCGTATTTGTTAAGAATTGTTTTCAATAGTATTCGCTTTTCTTGGTTAGATAAATTAGTAAAATATTCCAAGGCAGCTCTTGTCTCACAGTCTCGAAGGCATCGATCAATGTATAAAACATTGCCGAAATTTGTGTATGAGTTCAATACACATGTGATCACCCTTAAATCGTTTAGATCTATGGTCGGAGTATTAATCAATTTATGAAGTACAAGTGAATAATCGGTACAGTTTAGCGGGATATTATATTTCTTCAAAACCACTTTTACTTTGGCGTAATTTAATTCCTTCTGTATTTCATGAGCAAGCACGCGATCTGTTTCTGTGATAGTAAAATCATTAAAGACCGATGCGGCAGCTGCGATAGCTAAATCCAGAACAGTGTCATCCCATGGCACATCCAATACCTTCAATACTTGGAGTAAACATTCGAGTTTTAAAGAAATCGAACGAAAGGCGTTGAGCAGTATTTTAAGGCGTGAACTATTCACACCCCCACCGCAATTTGCCGCCTCAGTTTTTATGACAGTACACAGTGTATCATCCATATCAAATAAATACCGCGTGGCGTAAGCAAGTAGAAAGTCTTGCAAAAATGTGCTTAAGTCTTCCGCGTAACAACGGCGCAACATTGTTAGTGCAGCTTCACTGGGGCTCATAGAACTGATTTCCCTTAGTGACATTGTAATATTGAATTTCTCTTTTAATTCCATAATATAGTGAATATGATCCTTCAAAGAGTCTAAATTATCCATTGAGATAGGTCTAATAGACAGAGTTTTCATTGAAGAATTCAAGACGTTTATTATTTCATCAATGAACTTCAATCCTAATTTTGGCCAATAAGGTGATTTCTCAAATAAAAAGACTCTTTGAATTGTCCAGTTAACAAAAATATCAATGAAGTAAGGGTTTTCATCAAGTAAACATGGGACAAAATTTCTCAGCCAAATTAATAGGACTCCCATTTTAATGTTCTGTGGTATAGCATTCAAAATGTCCATCACATCACAGGATGAGATTTTTAGTTTCATTTCAGAGTATTTTAGCCAACATATTGAAGCTAAATCAAGGTCTGATTGAGAAATGAATGTTATTAGAAGGTCTTTATAATTTTGTTGAATGATGTTGACATTTTCATAACAATTTTTCCCACTAAAAAGGATATAGTCCAGTAGGTCCACCTTAATCATAAGATCATTAATGAGGTGTATAGATTTTTCATCTGATGTTGGGAAAGCTTTCTTCTGAAGTAAGTATAAAATAGGCTTGTAAGCGAGGTCATGTTGACAAAGCTTTGTAGCACTATCAATGAGAAAAGGGAGATCATTAATTTTTTCAAAATACTGCTTTAGCTGTGTCAATATTTGTACTGCATCCTTGGATGTCAGTGCTGCATCTATGAGTGTTTGCAATTGTGTCTTGAGGACTTCTTGAGATGATTGTTTAGACTTACTTGATGAATCTGTATGTTCCTCAGTTGAAATGGAGGCATTCAAAGCACAGCAAATTTGTACCTGTGAAGTTGATGTCAAGGTGTTATAAATTCATAATGGAGAATCTCAATTTTATGAAAAAAATGCAAAGAAATTAAAAATTACCTCTAATTTATCCCACACCAAAAAGTATAATCCATTATTATGAACAGCTAATGGATAATAATTTCCTGAATTTTCAATATTTTCAAATTTATAATAAACATCGGACTCTCTCAAATTCACAGCCCACATCCGTTCTTTGCTGGACAAGACGACTAATTCACCCCATGGGACAATGCGCTCTATCTTCACATCAGTAGATATAGTTTCTTGCAGGCCAGTTAAAGGACACTCCACAATTATATCTCCATTTTCAATAAATAAATAGAGATTATCAAATTGCTGCTTTTTAGTCATGTGTTCAGATTCAATACTGCGTACACGAATCTTCTCTAAATTTAGAGAAATCTCACTTGGTCCTTTGCTAATTCTTTCGTCTAATTCCTGGACACTGAGCGGCACATGAAGGCATTCTCCACCTTCACTAAAGAAATACACATTCTGATTAACATTTTGCAGTCGATTAATTTGGTACTTAGTGAAATTGCCTAATTTTATCTTCGCTAGTGTGCCCTTCACAATGTCTGCGACAACAGTCTCACCAGATTTTAGAATAATCCACAGCAAGTGATCCTGCAATGTTTTATCAAGGATTTCATGTTCGAAGTTGAAAACAAGATCCGAGTTACTAGATTCTTCTTTTGTGTTCAAATCCACAATACGAAAGTTATGATTATCTTCGAAAATGACGAGTTTGGGATACAAAAGTTCTGCATGTAATTCTTCGAGTTTTCTTGAACCGTCTAATTTTTTTAGGGGTATACACGTCACAGACATCTTTTAAAATATTTTGCTTATTACATTCAGTTCCTCGATTTTCCTCAATAGTAAATAAAAACGGTCAACAGATTTGAACTTAAAATGTTCAAATTGCAACTGCCACAACCTGTCAAAATGTTATATTTTTGGTTGGTAATTTTTATAGTAGCAAAGATGAAGCGAGAAAAAAACGAACATTTTTATTCGCTTTTATCAATATAAATTGTCACTGTGTGTCTACAAAAACGGATAGGGCGCGTTCTGTTTAAATATGAGATAACGTTTTTTTGTTATGGCAACTTATTCAATCGTCCGTCCATTCGTCCATAGACAAAATCCACCATGATTGGAAATAAATTTCAACATGGCGCACGGTTGTTCGGAGTGTGTGTGTGTGAAAGTGCAGTGAAATTATGTTAAAATCAAGTGTATTTAGTGATAATTTTAGTGTATAAGTGAGAAGTGTGTGCTTTAATGCAGCGTCTTTCTTATAATGGCTTTGGATTTACGCCTGCACTCTCCTGCAGGCGCGGAACCTGTTGTTTATACATGGCCCCTTACTTCAGGTCATGGCTCGGTAAGGAAATCGTTTAATTTATTATTATATGTATGTACTCTTGTGCTGTGATAGGAGCTATAGGTTTTAGTTTGTTATCGTATATATTACCCTCGACGGATATGCGTAAATAAAGTGATACGTCTAAATATTTGTGTTACCACACTTCGCGCTTGCCCGAGCAATTACTATACTAGAACAGTAGAGAAAGCGTTTGTTTTCATGTGCCAATACAATATAGTCATAATCTTGCTTGCTTACTCGTACATATACGTCAATAAGTTATCGACAGCATGGATTACTGCAGGGTCCACCCCCACATCACATGGGTCTCGCAGCAGAGTGTATTGACCTCGTGTTTTGTCAAGGTGTCGGCTTTTTTTAGATAGCATCGACACACCGTTGCGTAGGTTTCTCTCATCATCGTTTGTTATAGATGCAAAGAAGCTATCACTTAATTTGGCTTGGATACACGGTGTTTACACATGTGTATCCATTTGTTTTCTTTTACATTATTGTACCTTTCATGGTTTGTTTTTGTGTATAATAATTTGTGTATTAGTACATTAAAACTTTGACAAAAATTGATAAAAACAGTGTAAGATAAAACTATTTTTACATACGCATATATTTATTTTTATACACTCCACAAGTCCACAGCATGTTTAATGCCAGAGTGTTGTTTTTGTTTTTGAATAATGTGTTGCACATTAAATTAACAGTACTCTTAGATTTGTACTAAAGAATACTGTGTAATGATTATAATAAATATGCATAGTGACAAGATTTCTGTATAAATTTAAATATTATTTATTTAATGAAATATGGGTTTAATGCTTGTAATATGTATGTAGATGTCCTAGGTTCCTATAACAAGTTGAAGATAATATATTTTAAAGTAATTAAAGAATTATCAAATTAAAGAAGTTGGTTTTGGTTAGGTTTAATTTGATAATTTTCAGTTTTTTATTGGTTAAAGAAGCATACATTAGTGCTAATTACATTGACTATTAGCTGTGTGACTATTTTTAGCAGATTTTATTCCAAAACAAATGTTTACTAACAAGTACACATTAAATGTTTACGAGAGTTTTTAATTTATTGACACATTAACTTTACGCACACATTAAATGTTTTCTTATTTAATTTCTTAGGAATTTAATCTACTGCTTACAAATCATACTTGTTCCAAATATATTTATTTGTATACTAACAGCTCATAAATACTAAAATTTTATCTTATATACTTCTTACAACTTAGGAACTTACAGCTATTTTTACAAGATGTAACTTTAGAGTTGGTTAGAGAGTTAGAGTTCTACTCTACTCAGGCAGACAATTACATTCCAATTAAAAGCATGCACAAAAACTATTTTTGGTATCTTAGTTTAAAAAAAAAGAATTGTGGTATGTTTAGCTGCAACTAGAAAGAAATGCCTTACGTAGTTAACATAGGGTACAAATGAGTTTATTGCTGTTGCTAAAATATTTTTATGCAATTTCTTTTAACCTACAATGAAAAATTTTATTATTACAGCAATTCTTTATAATTAGATTTATTATATTCTAGTATGTTATTACAAGAGATCAGATCAGGCAAAGGGTATTTACCTAACTTTAAGGAAGTGATTTGTTTTTTAATATAAAGTAGACTCACACATGGCCAATCTCACCTGATGTCAAGTAACATGTGACCAAAGACAGTACGCACTTAGAGTGGATAGTTACCTCCCACTAAAATCACAGAATTATTGTATTTTGTTGTAAATTTTTGAAATCCAATTAGTAATTTCGGTACTAAAGTAGTATATTTTGAACAAAAATATTGTTATTCTAAGTATAATAATCGGCAATAACCTAAAACACGATAATTATATGTAACTATCATGTTTTGGGTTTTTGCCTCTTATTTTTAATCATTCTGGGCTCTCAAACGGAATCTTATCTGTTCTGTGTGTATTACTTGAAGCTTAGGGATATTATACTCTGCCTCTGCTTCTTCAGATTCTGCTTATAAAAAGCAATAGTATTGAATAATGTTTTTTTTTTTCAGGACAAACACGATGGGGCCTTGGAGATAGTAGAAACGATAAGGTAAGTGGGAATTACTATTAGCCATATTTTTTATATATATTTACATTTGTCTTTAATAACTATTGATCGTTTTAAATTTATGGAGTATTGAACAGACTTTTCTTCATTCTACTTTATTACTTAAATTGTTGTTCTCCATTCTAATATTAGAAAATATCACATAAAAACTTTAAATTGTTATAGGTAAAAATATAGATAACAGCAATTACAGTATGTAATACGCATTGTGCTACTTTGTCTTGCATTGACCTGTTTCACATCATATGTAGGATAATAAAAAAACGTGATGTCTTGAAGAATACGTACTGTTTGTTTATGGTGCTCCATATATTACTTATTAAATACTGTGGATCGAGTTATATTTAATAGTTAATAATGTCATATTTTTTATTAAACATCGTTGTTTCTGCCTGTTCTGCTTGAAGATTATTGTTGAAATTGCGGCTTTTAATTGCACTTTACGTCTAAAATTGGAGCTGGGTGTGCTAGTAACATTACGAGATTTATTTCACATTATTCACGTGTTCGAACTCGTGCATACTAAAAATCACGAACTACGAGGCGTAATTACATCGCCAATAAATTATTCTGCGAGTGAATTAAGCTGAACATTCAATTATCCGAGTTCATAACGTTGTGTACCTGTAATCAAATTAAAATTACAATGTGTCTCGATATCAGTGGCGTGTGTAAAGCGTGAAGGACGCAAGGGCAATGACCGAGGCAATTTCGCGCGTCGCGAGTACTTGCAATGTCGCCCTACTGCCCGACCTACAACGTAAAAACAATGTGGACTCTCCTACCACAATGCTACAACCAATCCTCATGTCACACAAACACACACACAAAAGTTTCATGATTTATGTGAACTGATTGCCGATTTCAGATAAGAACGCACACTGCTCTAAATTTGTTCAGTTGCGGCATATTCCCGGGCATCTAAAAGCCTTTTGCAATTAAATGAGACTATGAATCTATATTTAGGATATTCTTAGTCACTAGACTGGAAAAAACAAGTAGGTATTTTTGTGAGTCATTCACATTTCCGAGTTTCTGCGTGGAGTAAATTGCTTACGTAATTTATTCGTTTAACGTGTATTTTAATAACTATCGCTGACGTATGACTTGTCGGTATAGTTTCGTCGGTTCTCGGAGATTTAGGGAAACGAAACTACGCGCTATCGACTGAGCGCATGTTCACCTGTTCTTTCCCACGTCGGAAATAAATCGGGAACCTGTTTCTCAGGTCGGTACCCGAGCCCTGGGCTTTGGAGATCGCAAGCGTTGGTATCCGCTGCGACCTCTCGACCGGACTAATCGCACCCTTTGTGGCCTTGAAACTTACCTCGGTTAAAAACCGGGCAGTATTTTAACACTGGCTCCTAAGTAAGACAAAATAAGGCATGCAACTGATGATATTTTGGTAGTTTACAAAACGTGCCTTTGAAACATTGACCTACCAACAAATGGACGTTGGGTCTAATACAAAAACCACGAAAAAATGTCCGAAGTTAATCTATACAAACGTAGTGATATGTAACGAAATTTAAAAAAAATAAACATTTAATTTAAATTGTAACGTCATTGAAATACTGCCTAATTTTGCTTGTTACAATATAAGGGCCCAAAAACACCGTATTCAGCTTCTACTAGAAACTTAACGAAATACACCATATTTGGCTTAGACTGAAAATTACTTGTGTAAATACAAAAATATTGGAGCAGCCTTTGTTATAAATGTTAATTAATGTTTATATATATTATTATGTCGAATTTTGTATAAATTCACATAAAGAAATAATAAAGAGTTGGGAAGATATATACATACAAATATTGCAAATGTGAAAATAAGCATGTACTTTCTGAAATTAGCCTATATTCCAACTAAACATAAACTCAAATAGCTGTAATTCCGAAAACCTATTTATAATAAAACCATTATGTTTTCAAGTAATTTTGATGCTTTTCACAAAGACAAAATTAGCTTTTGTTTTGTAATATTCCTAAAAAAATACATTTGACATTATGAAAATTCGAGCTAACGTTATTTCGGGCAAATGTATTTTCTGACTTCTAATAGGTAATCCCATGTAGGGCATCGAGCCCGGGTTTACCAGGGCCGGCAAAACCCGGGTTTTCCCAGTTCTGAAGATTACAAAGAAACCCGGGTTTGATTTTAAATACCCGGATTTTTCTAGTATTTTACTTAATTTTTTTGTTATTTATTATATAAAAACCACTTCGAATACAATTATAAGTGTAATAAAAACACGCTTAAATAAATAATTACGTGCAAAGAAGCGTAGTTGCTACGTTTCTTCCCTACCAAACAACCAAGAAAACAAGCAATGCGTAAAATGGACTGGAAGATTTCTTTAAGACTTTATAAAATGTCTTGTAATTTGGAACGTCCTGTTTCATTTATGATAATCCTTCCTCTCCTCATCTTTTGTTCCATTGTAGAAAATCAGTATAGGAACACAGTTTCTTTTTTTTAATATAACAAAAAGATCGAAAAGCTTAAAAAAACCCGGTCTACCCGGGTTTTGACTATACTATGACCCGAAAACCCGGGTTTTCAAAATTGCTCCGGGTTTCGATGCCCTAATCCCATGCCGTAAAATGAGTACAACAATATTTTGATAGTTACTGCTAACTTTTAATAAAAAATCATTTTAAAAATAAGATTAAATCAAATCGTCTCTATAGTTTCTTTGTTCTAAATATTTCAAACGCTTGTGCTTCGAACAATTGAAAATGACCAAGAAGTTTATATATAAGCTTCTTGAAATTGACGTAACGGGTCTCTTTCTATCTTTTGCGCATGCAATGTGTAGAAAAAGGACAGACAGACGGATAGACAGACTTTTGTAATTTATATTTACGATTCATTTATATATAAATTAAATACTAAAATGCCGTACAAAATAACACTTTTAAATGATAACTATGATAACGCAATATATTTGTTTAGTGAAAATTTGATACAAATTCATGTTTTTACACTTTACTGCAGTAATTTTTACAAGTTATTATTATATAGTACTGTATGATTGATAACCGGTTGTCAGTCGAACAAACGAAGACTGTTGCGCGATTGACGCTCTGTATGCGATTTTAACTCCCTATAGGTGCGGACACTTTTTAGCGCGAACCCGACATCCATTTGTTGGTAGGTCAATGCTTTGAAAGATTAAAAAAAACCATGAATGCATCGACGAATCGGAGCTTAAAAATCGGTTACAAAGTAAATTATTATTATTACTTTTTGTTCATTGCTCTCACAGTGTTTTGTCGGTTCATGAATGACCAGCACTTTTAATACATAATATTAATATCGCGCTCATTGTTTTACGAAACAAATATAATTTATTCCCGATCTAATAGTATCTTGACCGTGGCACTGCCTAGTCAATTATGTTCGTTCGAAATTAATTTAACTCCCGGGCTAGGTAGTGGTCAAGAGCGAGTTCACATCCTTTAAAAAATGGTGTCAGAATTTTCTACTATGCTTTCGTTTTGCGTCATTATTCAAATAAAGCTAATAGAAATATAAATAAATCTAAACTAAAAAAAAATACTTTTAACGTTCAAGTGTTGTCAATAAATAAAAAAAAAAGTAAGCAATTTGTCGAGAGTCTAAATTTAATTGGGCCTATACAAGATTAATCGTAAAATTATCGTATGAATTGTTAACAGATGGGTGTTAGAAGACCTTCCGGAGATGAAGGCGGCACTGGAGAACAATATCCTGTGCGACTACGACACACACTCGTACGACAGCATGCGAGCTCTCTGCGACAGGTTCAACAGGGCCATAGACTCCGTCGTCGCTTTGGTAAGTCAATGTCTTAGTTTACTATGATTATAGATACATGCAAGTACAGTTGCCAACAGTAAGTTTTGTCTTGTTTAAAATATCATCCTGTAGGATCATGTTTACAGGTATCTATAATGCAAATAATTGTCTTTTAAATAACCAAATACGTAAACGGACAGGACTATCAACTTTACACTTTGAACATTTTACAATTTTTATCACAAGTGACATAAAGTTGAATTTAAATGAAAAACTGTCCGCGCTATTGATTTTACATATGAAGTAAAAACTTAACATATTCTTACAAGTTATCGAGTATATAAGGTTACATTTTAAACCTGCTTCCTAACTGTATAACTCCAAGGTCACCTTACTTTGAGCGTTATGTGAAATGCTACACATTGTCGATAACCATTCATGGACTTAAGATATTTAAACACAGCGAATTGGTTTCAAAACGTACAGGAGTTCACATTTTCTTCTCAACATCAAGCTGATTTTCGAATTCAGTAATTTTTAGACTTCAAATTCGTGTTTTACTCAATTCCACCATTTTTGATTTACGACAGTATTTAGTTTCATGTACGATATACATTAGAAGAGTAGTTGGTGGGAACACTACATTTACATTGTATATTTAACGACTTACTAAAATAAACACACGATATAATGTAACGTTATGCTAAACCGTGCGTGTATTAACTGCGGATACGATTTCTCACCTATCACCTTTTTGCAATTTCCCCTCCCACAAAGTGTGGAAATAACCCAATGATTGTTGGCACGTAGGTTAAAAGTTGATTTTAATATCGATAACCGATATTTTATGACCAAAAGTAATATATTTGCTTTCCTGCATTTTTAACAAGCATGTTGAAGTCACTGTAACGGAAACACGTGCTACGAATTCGAGTTTCTACCTGGACCTGTAATTCAATAGAAGCTAGCAAAAAATTGTATAGTTACGTGTGCCGACTGCAACTGAGTAATACAAAGGATGCATGCTATTGTTCGTTTACTTGTCGATGAATAAGTAGCATCGCATTGAACAATGATTCTAGTGACGTTATAAAAGCAAATGTTATTTCCCTCGTAAAATGCGTCACACAAATGTATTTTAAATCTCAGCTTAAGTAAATATATATTAAAAAACATTGTTACGTAATAGATAAGTTTGATACCTACTTGTTACTATGTACGATGTGATATAAATGAAATCTGTAAACAAATCTGAATGCAAACGACCGTGAATACGAGCGTCAATAGCGCCCTGACCTCCACGCAGTTTATTCCAGTGCTCGGTTGACTTGCGCTCACCCCCCGCTAAGCCCGCCTCCCCCATCTCCCTACTCATCTCCGCATTTCACTCAATTCATATTTTAGCTGTTTGCCATGAGCGGTAGAGGGCTCTCTCTCGGACGGGAAGCGTGGCATCGGTCGAAAGTGAAAAGCATCCAAATGGGGCGCGAGCCGCTTCGGGGACTGTGAACGCGAACTTGTTTGACCTAGATTGCTTTCATCCGAGCTTCTAGTTGACGAGAGTACCAGGAAAATCATAAATATGACCTATTTTGCATCGCTCCTAGAACTCGCGACCTGAAATAGGATTTATTTATATCTAAATGTATGGTCCTGTTCTTTTAAACATTTCATGTATTATACATCGGCCGGCCATTGCCGGAATACATAACTGTATAAACGCTATTAATGTTTTATATTTGTACCTAGTAAACATTGAGTATTAAACGTCGTGTTGCAAAATTATTGTAGCACTTAGCATAGCTAGTAAGTACATCGTATCATTAATTTGCGTCAGTGGCCGTTGTCGGGGGCTACGCCCTCATCGGCGATCGATATTGTGTACTATTACAAGGTACGCGAGCGGCAGGGCAGGCTGGGTAAGCAGGTCGGAGGCCGTAGCCAATGCACTAAGGACACCACTGAATGCGTTGCCCGCCACCCGATTTACTACCCCGACATTTACCACGCGCTTCTGCTCATCAAGTCTGTATGCATTGCAGTCATCTAGACTTTATAATATGAATTTAAAAAACAATGACCTTAATCTTGTTTCTGTACCCTTTGAGATCGTTTTCTATTTCACAATCTTGATTCGGCTGTTGCTAACCGCCTTGGTAATCTGTTATGATCTTGATTGTTACATTATAGTGCATGTGTACTATGCAGAATAATTACGTAACCTCTACGAATAGCGTGTTATTTGTACCTACAGCGCCTAGCTGTATATTTACCGCCTGTATGGTCATTAAACGTGTGCATGGAAACACCCAAAAGTAATTTTATAGTTATTTAAACTGGCTGTTACTTCATTTGTTGTGAAACAGGTATAGCAGGTTCTTGTACGTTTGTATTGTGACCTTATAGGTCATTTTTACGATCACATTTTTGATAAACGTTGATACAAATAACCCTAGTGTTTGTAAAAATTTCAGTCATAATTATTTGGCCAGATCCCTATGTAGTTCGTTATCGTACCTTATTAGCGCTGTTATCGCAGAAGGTCGCTTTGCTACCTACCGATGTTCACCTTCAGACCGCTTGTACATAGTTGGTACGTACTTGTGCGAGTATGTTGTGTCGTACAAGTGTATGCTCATAGGTTTGCATTGTAATTGTAGGTAGATAGATATTATCTAATGTAACTAATACTTTGTGTGATTACGTTAAATATTATGTTTACTGCTGTAGGTTTTCTATTGCGTGACGAAGAATAGGCGCTACTTTAATAGCCAAGCTCTCAAGAGTTTTCTTGATTAAAAGAAAACGTTACTTGGAAATTTTTGCGTCTCTGCGCAACCCTACACTTGGCATAGTTTTCATGACGCGGAAGCGTTGGCAATGTCACCTTCATCTATTTACAGACTTCCTACATCTGTAGCAAATTATGTAGCACTTTACTACTTGCCTATTCAAAGAATCATATTCCATAGATTACATATATATATATATATATATATATATATATATATATATATATATATATATATGTATTACATATATATATATATATATATATATATATATATATGTAACAGTAGGCTTAGCCCTTGGCGTTTGATTTATCATTTTATCACGTACTGCGACCACTTAGTCACCAGTACGTGAATGCGTAACGATACACAACGGAAATGATAGTTTCTCCTTGAAGATGCGATTAATTGTATTAGTGAGACACAACGGGCGTGCCGAGTTGTATTGTAGCATGTGCGAAACGATGCGGTGAATGTGGGGCAGTGAGGGGCATTCGAGGGGAGTGGGGCGTGGGCTGCAGGAGGGAGACACGAGGGCCAAGATGGCGGCGAGGACGCAACGATCGATGTCCGCAGACGCCGCGCGAGCCGACTCTATTTATACGCGCTGCATACCATTCCTCACTATGACATGGAAGTAATGTCGAATCGAAGTGGCTAACTACTTATTTTGTATGCAAGGCACATGCCGCAAGATGTTCCAATATTACGTCGTAAATTATATCACAACATTACACGAGCCAGTTAATGCAGGCGTAGGTATTTTGGATAATCCGCTGAAATTACAACCCCCCTCTTCATATAATATTCAACAAAAATATTATACAGTTCACATTGCATTATTATACAAGCTAACAGGTGCGTTAAGTGGAGCACTATAATAATAAAAACAACAGTCTATAATAGTTATTATTCCTATGAAGTCAGAATTTCCATGAGGATGTGCACCTGTCGCTTGACCCTGATGGTATCTCGATAATAGGTAGTTTATTCGATCATTAAAAGAAACTGACGGCAAGTTATACTCGTTAATAGTAATAAATGCCTTCACGAGAACGTATTTAATACGATGCACGAATGTCCCTTTGCGTTTTTACAATTACTATGTGCTAATATTTAGGAAATGTTTCTTTCATTTGTTTAAACGCTCCCATTGAATATACATTTACGTTAAGTGCTTTTCCACATTTTACAGTTTACGTCTATTATGAATGGTGCAGTTTACATCCAATGAAATTTTGAAATGAATGCGAACGATTAGAATCTTGTTTTCATACATTGAGCCTACAATATTAAGTTTCTCATAGAAGAACGTGATCTTTACTGAACGACGCCGACGCGTCGACTCATTTCACGTGCTGTTTTCATGCAGTTACCTAATGGTAAAACGCATGCGAGTCACATAATACACCAAATCATAATCCGACATAGCACTGAATATAGTCTAAGCCTAACAAACCCTAAGTCTCTATTGATGTACCTTGTCTAGTTTTTTTTTTATACAAAGTTCTTCGCAAACATCCTACATAAATTGATGCCACTTACACAATGTACATTATATGTGTGTGTACGTACCCTTTCAAGGATGTGCGTGATTGCCGAACGAGAAAGGGTCGTGTGCGTCACACAATCGAATACATTTCACTCTTCCCCTCTTGTTAGACACGACGTGCAAAATTACCTGAAGATTCATGTGTCTTAATATCAACTCAGATTAACTTCATACTTATTACTTATACAGAATTTACTGGAACCTCTTTCTTACATATAATTGATTATTAGACTGCTGTTAGCTGTGCACAGGAGTCAATACCAGCTTGGGGATGTGCTTGTAGTTAATCTGGCCAACTTTATTGTAAAGAGTACTCTCCAGTACTCTCCATTGTTTTAGTTTTCATGTCCCGGGAAGAACGTAATCCATTGGTTTTAGTCAAATCATAAACGAATATTGCACTATATTCATTTATCATTCGACTCAGAGACATCTGGTCAGAGGTCAAGTATTCAATGTTGAAATCTGGTTGTTTGGACAGAAGAATTGGCATTTGTGTGAAAATAAGTAGCTCAAGTAGTTGTGGATAAATTTCCCGGTGCCAGGCCGATATACCACTTCGTCTGTCTACAACTTATCTGGTAGTCAATGAAACGAACTAATAAATAACGCTATGACATCGAAAATGTCTAATGAACTGTAACTTACTATGTCACTTAATATCAACGCTGCCTAGATGCTAGAGCCACAACTCG